AGGGGTAGAAGTCGTCAGGCGTCGTGCCATGTTGTCTTGATAATGTAGTTCAGGCTATTGCCGTCGCGAAAGGTTGTGCTGTTTTAGAGCATACGTATTGTTAAAGTGGAAAATGTGCCCAATAACCCAGCAGTGAGGCATAAATGTCAATGTTATTCTGAGTCCGGCTATGCGTGCGTTGGGATTCGATTTGAAAAGCTACTATAAATTACGACATTGGGTAAGAAACTGGATTTTATTTAACTTGCTGTTGGCCTCTGTGGCTGGTCGCACCTACCGGGTGTGGAAGGCATCCCTCTCGATGGTCTGTCCATTGTGGTCTCAGACGCGTGGGCAAATGGCCGCAGCGTGCCCTTACTGGTAGGATTGCTTTGGTACGAAGCCCATTTTCTTCTGGACGGGTCATAATTAACAAGTCTGTGCGAAATCAACTGTGGGCAAAGTCTTAATATTATATCACATGCCATCGGAGGGTTGTTACCGTTGCCGCCAAGCTGAAATGCGTGCTTAGGGGCACACCTGTTATTTTATTCTACTAGCCAAGGGAAACATCGCGCGATTCGTCTAGCTGATCGATCACCTGGCTCGTGGGGGGCTTATCCGTCCTAAAACACTCTGATATGTGTCACATCATCCTCGAAATGTGACGTAATCCGTTGCCTGGAAGTCATTTGTTGAAGATTGAAAAGACGCAGGCTTTGTGGAGATCTGGACCTACCTCAAACGTCGTGACCTCCACTGACACAAATGTTGCACAACGTACCCATAATTAATTTGTCATGTAGATCCCAAGATCAATAAGTGTGATCGATCACCAGGTGAAAGTGTTTTAAATTTGGTTAGGATAGCCGGTATTCATCAAATGAATAGCGGCATTGTCGTGTCAGCGAACTACACGAATATCCCACTGCAGGCATTCAGGTCAGCAATGCTAAGTCGCCTTACAGATGGAGCATTATTCCCGTGGTTGCAGGCATTCCCGAGCCTTCTCGATGCGTGCCGCGGGCCTTCTGGGCCGTCTGTCATGCCATGGGCTCAGTTGCCGGATCTGACAGACGGCGAGGCCCGCCTGACCGTCTCCGCCCCTCGGCGCGTGCTGTGGACCGCCTGTCCTTGTGCCGGCCACTGACTCGCAATCGATATAGCTGGCATAAACAGGCGCGCTTCCGTAAACACGGCCGTTTTCGTCGGTGTCGCGCGTGCGAAGGCCGACCCGCGTGACCTTTGCGATGACCTCTGGGCGGCCTTCTTCCGCGGGAAGATAGAGTTGCTGCACGCCGCGGGACGAGGCGGCCGCGCGGCAGGCGCCGCGCGAACCGAGGAGCGACGCACGGGGTTCCGGCACGCGGCCACCCGAGCGTGCGGCTGGGTTGCGGCTGACAGCACGGACGGCCAGTCGAGCATGTGCCAGTTGAGACGGTGGTCGGTGGCCGGACGTCAACCCGCCGCGCCGATGGCACCTGGTCAGCGGCGGCCGAGTAACCCGAGCGAGCCGTCGCGTCCCCGGTTGCGCCTTTGTTGCGCCTTTTGTTCGCCTTTGATGGCGGCAGTTTCCGCACGGCGGTTCAGCCGGGGCTCGTCGGCGGGAGGCCTTGTTTCGCTCGTGGTTCGGCGTCGGTTGCCCGTCCGACAGCAGGCGCTGCGTGACCGAGCGGGCGCGCCGCACGAACGCCGTCGAGATCGCGCCGCGGTGTACTCAGCGACCTGCTGCTCCACGCCACCCGAGAGCGGAGGGTCTGGCGGACGATCGTCGCGCCCGGAGAGTCGCCACATCCGCGTGCCGGGCCCCCCTGATGTGCCGCGCCGTCCGCTACGTCGGGCACCGCTCGTCGCCTCTCTATCGGTCCCGGTCGCTTTTCAACTCCAGGAGCTCCGCGGGAACTTCTATGAAAATCCCCGAGCCGTCGGCATGCCGCCGGCCTCGCTCCCGCGGACCTCCGCGGAAAGGAACTCTCCCTCACCCCCAACCTGAGCGGCCCGCCTGGAGCCGTCGAGCCGCCGGCTGCTCCAGGAGCCTCCTCCCCGGTCTGTAATCCCCGAGCTTCGAGCGTCTCTGAAGGTGAACGTGCCGAGCTGTGCCGGGCGTGCGCCGGCATGGACTGCTCAGCGCGGCGTGCATGGCCGGCGGGGTCGGCGGTGCATTCCTGGCCACCGCGTCCCGCCGCCGCCGCCGCCGGCCGGAACCGCCCGGTCCTCTGACGTCACCGGTGGCCAGAGCACGCTTCGGGCGAGGGGCGGGGAAGGGGGGGGGGGACACACCGGCACAGGCGCAGCAACGGCAGCAGAGGCAAAGGCACCGTTCCGACTTGTTTAATGAACTTGACGTTGACCGCATGGGGATGCATTGCAAAGATCGGTCCAAAAAGTGGAATTGAGCCCTCTCATTCGGGGGACGTGCCTGCGGCCCTGGTCCCTGCTTCGGAGGCGGCTGAGCGTCGAGGGGGACGTAGAGACCTGAGGAGCTCTGTGCGCCCGCGCACTGGGCTGGAGCGGGCGAGCTGACCTGATTACGGCACTGCACCGTCTGAACGCGTGGAGTGGCGCGCCCGGCGCTGGGACGTCCACCTGCCGTACCAATGTCGCGCCGCTCTACGATGAGTTTGTGTCGTTGGCGATGGCTGGCGCCGCCGCTGTCCGGCCGCTGGCCGCGGGGCCGGCGGGTATAGCCGCGTGCAGCGTGCGCTGGCGCGGGCCGCTGCCTCGGGCGCTGCCGTGCCCCAGCGCCCGGCGCGGCGCGTCGGCAGGAGCCGGCGACGGCAGGGCGCCGCCGGCCGATGGGGCGCATTCGGAGTGGGCAGGCGCCGGCCGCTCTTTGACGGACTTGCTGAGAGCTGCCGGCCCAAGGCCAGCCCGGCCCAGAGGTGGACGAACCGGGCCGGCCTGACCTTGGCGAGCAGGAAGTCACGTCGGGCGCCTGCCATGCAACACGCCCCGTCGGCCGACGCGCCCTGCTGCAGCTGACCTCTGTCGACCGCGCCGGCCAGGCACGCGCTGAATGGCACGCGGCTGTGCCACGCGTGTCGCCGGTGTGCCGCCCCCCGGAAATAAATGGGTTTCGTTCGTATTCGTGAGAAATGTCTATTTCTGATTGTTGGCTTTGGCGTTGCTGGCATGCTGGATCCGTCATTGGTCGTGCAGGGGAGTTACTTGCGTCATTTCCAAACAAAACAGCTTTGCACGTCCGGTTTGCGCTGTGTTTTGTCACGGCTTCAAAGGCTGACTCGCTTGCCTTTGTTCGCGCTGCTGAGAAAGTGGTGTGCTTCCTGCTTCTCTGTGGCGTGACGCGATGCTACGATCAGAAATTGGGTTCGTGCTCAGGCACGGCACCGTGAACACAAGGAAATATGTTGTTGTCGGTGGTGTGCGTGCCTAAGGAGTCATCTGCGACACTGGTTGGTTCACATGACCGTCACCGGAGGATGTCCATGTTGGGCTCGTGCCTCAGTTTAACCCCGGTCCGTCGCTGTGCCTGGAAGGGGCCGCGACTCCGCCCCTTACCCCTCATCTCTGGCGGACGCCAGCCGTCCCCAAGTGACTCGGAATGCGGTTGTACTGGCCAGCGAGTTTTTAGAGCCCCCGTGGTCACTGCTCCCCGTATCTTTGGGGCAAACACGGAGAATCCTCTTCGTTTTTACACACCTTTTTGCCGGCGACCCGATTTTCTCGAACACTTGGCAAACAAAGCGCGCGCCAGCGTTGGTCGCGCCGTTTTTGCAACGCTGGCCTTGACGCTCCGGGCGAGTTGAATAGCCTCCGGACGCGCGTAGGCATGGCGAAGAGAAGACTTTCGAACGAAGCGACCAGGGCACCGCGCCAGCTCATCGGCCGCCGCCCTCCACGGCGGCTGGAAATGGGGCAGAGCCGCCCGCGCGCGCGCGCGCCGGTTTCCTCCGAATTGCCGGGAAGCCTCCGCCGCCCACCGCTTCAAGCACGAGGCGCGGCCGGCGCTCCTGGCGCTCTCGAACCGCGCCATTTACATACACCTACAAGGAAGTGCATCGGCGCGACGGCGGCGGCAGCGTGTGCCTTGGCCGCGTGCCAGGCGGCGGCCGAGCGCCCGCCGCCCGCTCGGGTGACGGCGGGCGAGGCCCGGGAGGTCGACCTCCGGCGCGCGGCATTTCCCGTGTCGCGCCGGCGGGCCGTCTGGCCGCCGGTACGCTCGGACCCGCATGAACCCGCGGGGCACGGCCTGGGGCGCGGCGCGCGCGGCCTCTCAGCTGGGGGCTAAACAGGTCGGCACGGCCGGTCCCCTCCAGAGCCAGGAGCCCTGCCGTCTGTCTGGCTCCCCGCGGGCTGCCCCAGCCACCCTGACCGCGAGCGGGCTTACGTTGGTAGTGAGCCCATGCGCTGGTGTGGCCCGCCATGTTGGTGCATGCTGCCGCGTGTCAGTCTGCGCCACGTGTGAGTCTCATTGGTGGTCTGGGAAACCAGAGGTAGGGGGTTCGATTCTCAGTGGTGTCGTCCTCCGCGTGAGGGTGGCTACGCCATACCCATCAGTTACTGAGTGCCTGGTAGATCCGCAGCTTCAAACGCCAGCAGTCTCGCTGACGTGCGTGGCTGGTGCAGTCGGCCCCACAGCTGGTGTGGCGGACGGATGCCAGTGACGCGTGCCGTGTTCGGCCGTGGTCAGCTGGCTGTGTGCGGTGATAAGGAAGTAGTGCATCCTTCCGAGCTGACGTCACAGACGCAGCGGTTTGTGAGGAAGCTGGCGCCAGTGTCTGCAGCACAGTCCACAACCCATATGACGCGTCTCCTGCCTGTCAGACGACCAGTTTGGTGCACAGCCGGCGTTACAAGCCAGATCGGTGCAATGCCCGCTGTCAGCCCATGAGGATCACTGCCGTCACCGTCCTCCACACCCACCATCGCTACCAAGCAGCGCGCGGCATTGGGCCCTCCATGCTGTGAGACGCGCCTCACGCGTGCGCCCCCAGCCGAAGCCCGTGCCGCAGCCGCAGCCGCAGCCGCAGCGTACTGACGCTGCCCCCGCCCCGCCGCAGGTGGCCACGGTCCGTCGACGAGCGGCGCCGGCGGCGACTACTACGCGTCGGCGCTGTCTGGCGGCGAGCGGTCGTCGGCGCCGGCGGTCGGCGCGCCCGAACGGCCCGGAGAGCTGGAGAACGGCTCCAAGCTGCTGGAGATGCTGACGTCCGAGGGCGCGCCGCCGCCGCCGGCCGGCCGACCGCGACCCATGCACGGCCTCCCTCAGCAGCCAGGTGAGCCAGATAGGGGTCGCCGGGAGTCACTGGAGTGGAGGCCGGTTGGGTCAGGGCACGGCAGACATCGGTGATATAGGGAGTGAAGGAGAGTGCTGCATGCCAAGCTTGCTTTCTTGTGCAACCAAATCTTTATAACACCTTCACAGTTTGTCGTCAAGATTTTCGTCGATGCATGTAACTGTCGTTAAATTGTTGCCATCGACACGCCTTTAACAAACGTGTCCATTGGATCCGCCTGACTGTGTTACGTTTGTACCGACAGCCAACATCAAAATGTCGGACTGGTCAAAAAGGCCTCATCTGTTTATTAAATATTTTGCAGAATATGACATCCTTCTCTTACTAATGCTTTTAAATAAATCATAACCGACAGACAGTCGGCAGACTTTGACGCGGTAGCCGCGTGTGTGGCGGCTGGTTGAGCGGTCAAGTCGTTCCCACGAACGCAGCGGCGGGGCTAGTCTTATTTTTTAACCAAGCGTAACGCAGCGTATCCTTTGATGCGGAGTGTTATCGTCGGCAGCACGTGCTGTTGTCCGGATTCGGCTAACCGTTTGGCCGTCGACCCCGGGGAGGGCTGGCGAGGGCTTGTTTTTTAACGCCGGCTCCGGGCACCGTCGCCCGTCTGCCCATTGTCGGCTCCAAGGCCGACGGCCCGCAGCCCTTTCTCTGCGCTCCAGTTGCCGAAAATACGGCAGTTCACGGCGGGCCCCTCGGTGGCGGGTCAACCACCGCGCGGGGCCGTCAACAACTCCCCCTACCCCCCCCCCCTACCCCTCCCGTGCCGGCCGATCGGGTTCACACGCCCCCCCCCCCTCCGGACGATCCCTAAAAATGGGGTAAACAGGTCCCCCGGTGCGGGCTGGGACCGCACTGAAATAGATCGCACCCGGCGAAAGTGAAGCGGCCGTTTCCTCTGAGCCTTGACCTTGGTGAGAGGCACGACCGCCGGCCGGGGCCGTGTCGGCCCCGCGATCTCATAGACTTTGCATAGCGAGTGTGCGCGCCGGGACATACATGCCTAGCCTGGCCGGGCGTGCGGCCGGGCGGCGCACGTCCCGTGGTCACGCGGTCAGGCCGCAGCCGTGGCTGGCCGCAGCAGGGAGGTGCGCCGCTGTGCCGTGCCTCGGCTACTATTCGCCTCGCCAATGCCGTCTGCGGGCGCAGCCGGTTCTAGTGGCTGCTATGATGGCATCTTCCTTGCTCGCCTTTGGGGTGCGTCGCCTGGTGTTTGTACAGGTATCCGGGGCCCGCAGGAGGGCGTAGCTTACCCTCAAGCGCCGCCGAATGGTGTCGTCTCATGCATCCGGGGCGTTTCGACGCTGCTTGCATCGCATGGTAGCTCAGTCTGACACTTAACATTCTGGGCACTCCCATCAAACAGCTGTCCCAGTTGTCATCACATGCCATGCAACGCGCGCCCAGTCATGGGCGTAACATCCGAGCTTAACCAGTTGTGACGTGACGTAACCTGGCGTGACGTGACCCAACTTGACCTGACCTGACCTGTGCCCACAGGCTCGCTGCCGCCCAGTCCGGCCGACAGCGGAGTTTCGGATGTCGACAGCAGCAGCGGGAACGCCAGCAACGACGAGTCCAAGCCCCGTCTACACTGTGAGTACCGCCCCCTCCCCATCTGCTTCCTCTCCCCCCCCCCCCCCACCGCAGGGGTGCCCGCGCCCGCCCGGATCGCCCGCGCTCTTGCGTGCGCCGCTCCACAAAGCGTAAAAATGCTCGCCACTCATCCGGGATCGCAGCTCCGGCGGCAGGGCTCTGTCAGCACGGCTGCCATGCACGGCCGTTCCAGGATTCAGTAGTCCCATTTCCGACCGCAGATGGAGGAAGTGGCGCGCCGCTGCGAGGGGATTGCTGGGGGTCAGATGATTTGATCGGCGGCTAATCCTCTGAGCGTCACGAAACGCCTGCAAGCTCGTGCTGCGCAGTGCATGGAGTCCATTGAACTCGGACGGTGTGAATAAGACAGACGCCGCTGCTTTTTTGTTCTAGATTCTTCGCCCACTATCTCAGGCATATTTTCAGCGTTTTTCCTGTGTGTTCACATCAGCACAAAACGCTAGCTAGCACTGAAGAAGTCATTGCGACACGGGAGGTCGTACCTAAAGTACGGAGATATCGCGAGCGCCCTCCTGCGAGCAGCAGTAGAGCCCCGCAGTAGCCCAACGTCGCGCCACCAGGCACCTGGGGCCTCTGACGGGTCACCCTCGTGCACCGGGGTGGGGGAGGGGGGCACCTGAGCACCGGTCCGCGCTGGGTGGCCGCACCGGAGCCAGGGTGTCCGCTTCGCCGGGGGCGGCCGGAAGTGACCTGGCCCGGCCGCGTGCAGCCTGGCGCGCGCCGCTGCGCCGCCCGATGACGACGTCACACCTTTGTTGTCGGAACGCGGCGGCGCCCGCCGGGTCTCGCGCGCCACGGGCTGCCCTGGGCCGGCGCCGGCTCCGATGGCGGTAAGACGACGCGCCGCCGCCGCCGGCGGCGGCGGCGGCCTCGGTGGAGTCGGCGTCGGCGTGAGCGAAGGCGGCCTCCTGTGCTGGCGCGGCACACGCAGCGGCGACGCTAACAGCGCGCCCCCACGGCCGGCGCCGCCACCGCCGCCGAGCTCCCACGCCCGACTCTTCCGGCCGGCCGCGGCGTCACCCGCTGACGTGGCGCGCGCCGGCTACGCCGCTGACGCCGGAGGGGTCCGGTGTCGGCGCCACTGCCGGCCGCGGCGCCAGGGGACCCAGGCGCGGTGCTGGATGCCCACAAGGGCTGCAGCGCGCCGCAAGGTCACGACGCTACGGTCGGGCGTCGGTTGATGCCGAGCTCATTGGCCGGGAATGAGAGGAGTCGGATAAGAGCGTCAGAGGTGGTGGGGTTGTTCCTGTGGAGACGAGGAGGGTGATGGTGTGAGCGGGCTAGTTCTGGTTTCGGCTGCACACTTGAAGAACAAGCGACTGCCCCGACAGAGCACGCTCGCTGTCTGGCCGAGATCGGCCGTCATCACCACCGCGCACCTCAGAGCGCTGGCCTTAGGGCGGGTCACGATCGCTGCAGTCGCCGACCGGTTGATCAGCGGGCGTGGGTCCATTCAGACCCGACAGACAGAGCGTCGCCGCCGCCGGCCCAGACAGCTGGGTTTTTTTGTCGGCCGGCGGCTCGGGCCGCGCCGCGAGGGACGCATCAGGAAGGGGAGCGAGCGGCCAGTCACCCTGCGCGGCCGTCTGGCGGAGCGCGAGGGGAGCCGGCCGGACCAAGGCCGCCATCCGTCTGGCCCGTCTGCCCCGGCTGGGTGTCCCCCGGCCGCCGGAGTCGCCGGCCGGTGCGCGCCGGTCGTGGCGGCGCCGGGCCGCCGTCGGACCGGCCCTCCGCCTGGCCGCCGAGCCGCCGGCGCCGGCCGACCTTCGCGCGCTGGTTCCGCGTGCCGCTCGCACGCGGCCGCCCCCGGAGCGCGGATCCAGTGGCCGGCCGCCAAGCCCGCCGGCCGGCGACGAGCTGAGGGGCCGCGGCTGAGCTGGGGCCAGGTGACCGGGCGACAGCGGCGGCTGGCCGCTGACCATCGCGTGGTCTTAGATGGGAGGGTGATCACGCAAGCCGGCAGCTGGCGTCACCTTGGGATGGGTTTTTATCGCGTATCAGCTTAAAGGCATGAAGCTTTTGGACAGGACAGCCCACGTTTGCTTTGGCCCTGGAAGCTTCCCGCCGCGCGAGACAGGGTTGTCGTCAAGCACCGGCTCGTGGAAGCCTGCATCTGGTCTCCCTCCCCACCCCCTCCTCGGATCCGCACGCTCCGCGTGCCGTCGTCGAACGCCCGTGGCCTTCGTCGGTCGGCGCTGGGCTGTCGTCGGGCTTCCCCTCCCCCCGGGCGGGCCGCTGTTGTGGCCGGCGGTGCTGTTCCGGGTCGGCGCGCGCACGGCCGCGGCCGCGCCCGCGCCACGGCCGTGTGACGTGGCCAGCGGGGTCATCGATCCGGGCGGGCGGCGTTGGCCGCCGGCCGGGAAAGGCCGGCCGAGGTCGGACGCCGCTGTTGGCAAACTTGCCGCAGCCGCCGGCACGGCTGGCGGTTACGACCTGCAGCCGGCCGCCGCCGGCCGGCGGGGAGTGAGAAAGTATTTCCTCGCCCGCCACCGGCACGCTGGGGGATGGAATGCCTGCTCCCGGGCCGGCATGGTCCGCCGCTGTCACGTGTCCGCTGAATCCGACCGCCGAATTGTCACGCGTGTCCTCCGTAAAACGTGCGTCTGCGACTGAACTGCGTTGTAGGTGGGACTCAGCTGTGTTCCATCGCGCGGTAGCACCGCACGTGACCTGACTGTACCCTCTGTCGCCGGCAGTGGTCGGTCGGACGGACGACGTTCAGCACCCCGCGCACCCGTTCTACGGCCAGCAGCGGCATCCGTTCCGGCACCAGCCGTACCCCAGACCTTCCGGTGAGTCGCCGTACCCCAGACCCTATGACGAGTAACTATACCGCAGACCCTCCGGTGAGTCGTCGTACCCCAGACCCTCCTGAGTCGCCGTACCCCAGACCCTGTGATGAGTAACCGTACCCCAGACCCTCCGGTGAGTCGCCGTACCCCAGACCCTCCAGTGAGTCGCCGTGTCCGCTCGGCACCGTCCGCTTGCTCGACATTTGCCAGCTCGGTGGCGTGTCCAGAGCGCCAGGATCCACCGCTGGTTTCCCGCACGTGGTGATGCTGACGTTTACGTTTACGTTGGGTTCTGCAGGTACAAAAGATGGGAGTTTGCTACTCGCCGTGATCACGGTCCCCATAAATCGTTAATCGTATCACGGGGCCCAGAAAGTCCCGGATGAGTGAAGCCCGTAAGCAGCGCTCAGACCGCCAGAGGGCCTCTGTGGAGTTCCCCCTCTCTAGCGTCAGCCTGGCGACGGGTGTCCATGTTTGACCGAGCGGGCTGGACCGACAGCGGCGCTGTTCCTTTGTCCGCACGCGTCACGGTGGCAGACGTGGCTGCCGTGGCTGCCGCCGTGACAGTGGTGGGCGCGCGCCCCTCGCCCGGAATGTGACTGAGCCACATACCGCCGCTGCGTACGCCGCGGCTCGGCCGATGGCAGTCGGGGGGGGGGGGGGGGGGGCAGATGCCATGTCCTTCCTCACCAGGTCCGGCGTCAGGAGTGCATCAGGACTGGTAGTGGGGCTACGCTGGCGCGCCATACCAATGCTATCGCCGAGTGGTCGGTGCTTTCGCGGCGCATGGCGGCAGGTCGTAGCTTTTGGTATGATGATGCTGGTCGCTCCCTCGTCGCCAAACCAGTTGCGAGCGCCGTCGGCGATTCCGTGGCCTCGACGGCAGGGTGGGATGGCGTCTGCCCGGGAGCTGCTGCCATGCCGCTGTATCCTGGTTGCGAGGACACAGAGCAGGTGTCCAGGCGGCGTTGAAGCCTTCCGGGTCCAGGCTGCGTCAGTGGACACCACGGCAGTGCTGATGGATGGGCAAGGGCCTGCCTGGGACAAGGCCTTCGCGCTGGCGTCGATAGAGTCCGCTTTGGAGGCCGCCCGGCCGTGCTCTGTTGCTCGCCACAGGAGGTGCTACACGTGTCTTTTTGCGGTTGTGTGAGTTGCATCAGAAGCCATACGGTGCAGTTCACATGATTTATCTCGAAGCTTCGCTCGCTCTCGTGCAGACTTCTCCCACCTGAGTGCAACGTACAGTGGATTGACGTGTGGAAAGGCCGAGTCCCACAGTCAAACCTGTCTGGGTAGCAGCCACTTCGGTGAGCACCCCCGTGACGTCGCCGCCCAGACGTCGGCTCACCCTGAGCCCCTGGAACGCGCCCGCCCGGTCCGCCCCGCCCCGCCCCGCCACGTATCCGCTGGTGGTCCCCAGCTGGTGCGAGTCGTCAGCACCGGGACTTATGTCCCGCTCATCGCCCGGCGGAGGCGCCTCGCGGCGAAGCGAGCAATTTGCGGTCTGTGCGCCGACTGCTCCCACCACACCCCCCTCATTGCCGTCGCTGCTGGCACCGATCGGCCGAGCTGATGCGTGATCAAGCCGAGTGGGCGCCGGCGGCTGGCGACTGTCCGGCGGCGCCGGGCGGGCAGCACCAATGACGCGTTGACGCCTCGTGAGCCGACCGTCGCTTCCGCCGCCGCCGCCGCCGCCGCCGCCGCCGGGCGCCCCCTGCAGCTCGTACGAGCCCCGTGGGCGGCCTGCAGCCACCCGCGCGCCGGCAGCCGCTAAATTTGGCCGCTCGGCGGCAGTTTTAGACGGAATATTGATCGCCGCCGTGTGCCCGCTAACCCTGACCGCCGCTCTCTGACGTCACCGGTCGGGAGCGTCGCTGGCACTGACGTCAGCGGCGGCGATCACCGGCCGACGGTGGCGCGGAGCGCGGCCGACGGTCAGCACCGAGAGAGCCTTTGTCTGAGGGCCGGCCGGCGGGCGGCGGGCGGCGGTGGCCTGGCGCGGGCCCGGCCGCGTGCCCCAAGCGTGCGATGCCACCGGCTCGGCCCCGCGGCGCAGGGGCCCGCGTCTTCAGGTCGCGAGGTCGACACTTGATCTGCCCTCCGTCCCGTGGGAGAGGCGGGTCGCGTGGTCACTGATGTCGCGGCCGCGGCGGACTGGTGCGCTGCGTGTAAGATGATGCGACCGGAGGTGCCGGGGGACTTGGAAGAAGGTTGGCGCCTGGGGCGCCGGAGCAGGTCTCCCCGCGGCGCTGCTGATCTGGACAGCTAAGTTGAGAAACTCTTGTCTGTAGCGACATAACAATGAGGGCGAAATAGAACGCAAAGTAAGATAACTGGGCAACTAAGGACTGGCGCGGGATACCTCGCTCTCCCCTTCTCGCGACTGGGCGCTGTTGCCAAACTTACCGGCAACGTTCTGTTGATTTCATGCTGCCTTTATGTTATGTGCGAGATGCATTTCGGTTACAATTACTTGATGTACTTGTGCGATACGTACGATCACGTAAGCTGCCCATCACCAGCCCCAAGGAATACGCGGCCGTGTTTGGAGGATCACGTTTGGCCTTCCAGAGCGGCTTACACGCGATTAGCTGGGATTACCGGCAGGTTTCGTGTCTGTCGGCTTGGAGTGCTGACAAATTTCCGGTCATGCATTCCGCCAACCGCCTGCCCTGCCCTTCCCCTCCCTCCCGGTATCGGTGTTGCGTCCCTGCGGGTGGCGGCGGGCTGGGCTGTCGGGCGGGGAAGGGGGGGGGGGGCGCCCCAAGTCCACCGACACCGTCACGCCAGGTCGTCCTCGCTCTTCCACGTCCGCGTTGGTCGGGAGATAGGTCTGAGTCGGGATGCCATCCTCGTAATAAAGCGCTCAATCGCTGTCGATAACGGTTACGTAACAGGAGCAGCGACCGCGCGGGATTTTCTGACGAGACATCGTTCACAGTAGCTGGGAGAGCGACAGCCTGTACGCCTAAATAGCCCCTGCGTGATGTGTTCCCCATTGGCTTCGTATATTTGCTTCGCTCGAGCAGTTGGCTACGTCGTATGCCCTTCGTGCTCGGAGCATTGCTGACCTGGTCTTTCTAATGACGCCTTGCAGGGCTCAGACGTTCAGACGCATGACTCCGTGTTGCCTGCATTTTCGTATACGGCTGCGTGCCTGTGTAACCAGGCCGAGGCTTTCGGAAAAGACCGACGCCGACACACCCACTGCGTCTAACCCAATCACCGGGTGCTTCGCACCGAGTGCGCAGAACACATGAATCAGGACTGCCCCCTCCGCCACGTTACGTCTACCTCTCATGCTGGGATGAGAGAGTGCGCTGGTGGCGCCGGCGGTGCTAACCGGCCGTCCCCTCTGTTGCAGTGCCGGACAGCCTGTACGGCGGCGCGGCCGGGTACGCGGCCGGCGGCCCGTCAGTGCCCACGTCGCCGGTGGCGTTGTACGCCTCGGGCCTGGGCCTGCCGGGCCCGCTGTTCGGCGATGGTGGCCCGTTGGCGCTTCCCTCGCCGCTGCTCGGCAGCCCGCCAGCCACCAGCCCCGACGCCATGTACCGCGCCGGCGCCTTCGAGCTCGACATCAACCGGCGCCGGGGCCGCCGACCGCGGCCCGACGGCACCTCGGCGCCCAAGCGCAAGAGCAGGGACGGTGAGTGGCGCGGCGGCGCGGCGGCGCGGCGGCGCGGCTCTGATGTCGCTCGCGTGCGGGTGGCGGCGCGCTCGGAGCCGGCCGCCGCCCGCGCGGCGGCTGCGGCTGTTGCATGTGCCGGCGTGCCCCTCCGCGCCGCGGCGGCGGCCGTGACCCCGCCCATTAGTGGAAATGGTTACGTTGTTAGCCGAAGCGTTGTGCATGCCAGGGCGGAGCTGCGGTGAGTGGCCCGTGTGAGGCGCGCCGGCCCGCCACGCTTCCTGGCGGGGCCGCCGGCGCGCTGCGAGGTCCTCCGCAGCCGGCCAGCCGGAAAAGGCACCAGCGCTGGTATGAGGATTTTCCTCGGGCTTCCCATCGGAATGGACGTTAGAGGATACACATCACCTGTTCGGTAAATCCCGGTCAGGTGGTGTCCAGTCGGCTGGCGGCTTCACAACTTCAAAGGTGTTGCGTGCGCCTGGTAGTCATGCACTTGAACTTATGTTTTTTTGCGAAGCATAGGATGAGCTGCATTCGACTTTTTAGGTAAGATGAGCTTGGTTTAGATAAGCCCATTGAAAATCTGACATGACCTCACTTTGTCGACGCTATTTGGATGAAAAGGCCCGCGCACCCGGTAAACTATGCCACTCATTTCGATGCTTGTAGTGCTCGTACCGTTAATGTTCACCGTCGATTTTGCCTTCTACCTAAGCAGGTGCAAGGCAGCGCCTGAAATCCCATCTGCCCCGTGACGTCACCGACTGCAGTACCTGGGACCAGCACTGACCGCGCCGGCCTCTTCGGCAGGCTCGTCGCTGTACCTGTGGGAGTTCCTGCTGAACCTGCTGCAGGACGCTCGCTACACGCCCTCCATCATCAAGTGGATCAGCTTCCGCGAGCACGTCTTCAAGCTGACCGACTCCAAGGCGGTGGCGCAGCTGTGGGGCCGGCACAAGAATAAGCCAGACATGAACTACGAGACGATGGGACGCGCCATGAGGTGGGCAGCGGCCGGCGGCGGCTCTCGAGTCCGGCAGAAGCCGTCACGCGACGCTCGGGGGTCGTGTGAGAGCTGATGAGATGGGATTGGGTTCCAGCCGGACCTCGTGCGGTTCTGATCTGTCTGTTTGGCGGAATACTGGGAAAGGAGTCTCAAAAATCGCTTGAGTCTTCCTGAATGGGCCTGTAAATCTGGTTCCTGGCACCTGTTGGGGTGGAGGCTGTAGTCATCGCTTTGTCACCGTGTCCGGATGTTTTTACACTTGCCGTGCCCGTTCTGCCTTCTTCAACAGAGCCGGCTGCTCTGACGTGTGACCCCCTTTCCCGCAACTGACTGTCTTTTGTCCCGCCTCGGCCCGGTCTACCGTCACCTAAGTCGACACCGGCCTCGCCCCACACTCCTCCCTGACAGCCCTCCTCTGCCGGCAGGTACTACTACCAGCGCGGCATCCTCAACAAAGTGGACGGTCAGCGGCTGGTGTACCAGTTCAAAAACGTGCCCAGAGACCTGAACGATATCGTGGAGATCGACTGCTCCGGCTCGTAGGGTGGCGCCCGCCGCGCCCGCTGTACAAACTGTACAAACGTGTGATATACTGCCGCGTAGGTGTGGATGTGTGAGTCGCACGGGCGAGTGACGTGCCTTCGAGAGCGTGCGACGGAAGAGCGCCAGCGTGGACGAGTCTTGAGAAGATGCGCCAGCAGTGAATGCCTTACACCATATGGCTCGGCCCGAACAGTGGGGCCCTAACAATATATTTTTTACATCTAGGCTGCGGGTGAAAAGTGAACAGTGTGATCTCACTTTTTCAAGCCTACTTAATGTTCGTTGGTGCGTGGGGCATATATCAGCAGCGTTCTCGTATATACAAGCTATACATATAATTATATCTGTGTTTGGCGGCGTAGGTTGCGCCCGCTGTGTACAGATTATTTACTAGCATCGCGCGCGTGGCTGACGAGTGGCCCGAGTTTCTAGTACCTGACTGAGGAGTGGCCAATGTCTGCCGTTCGCTGTTGGGGGCCTGTCAGCCCCATCGGTGCCGAAAGCTCTCACCGCTCCACAGTCGGGCCCGCCGCCGCCCGGTGCCGGACTCGACTGTATTCCAGGCTTCCAGTGTAACCCCCCTCCCAGTCAGGGGTGGCCCCGCACACCCTGTTGTTGGTGTTCAGTCACTTTTGCTGTTACTTAATGGCTTCGGTGGTTGCGTACTTAACCATATGTTTGGCCGTTACTTAGCTACGTGTTCTCGGGCTGTCTGGAACCACATGTCAGAGGAGCAGAAATCTCGCGCAAGACAATACGCCGCGTCTTCGGACCATGGCCGGCCGGGCGTCCACCGATCGTACGCCAGTTCCGTCACCTGCACATGCTCGTCAAACATAGACACACATCCCACGAACGCCCACGCCCTCCCCCCCCCCCCCGTCCCACTCAGCGGCCGCGCGGGATCGAGACGCAGCAGGACGCGACCCACGTTTTACGTGTAAGGACTGTTTTCCGGAAGCAGCCGTGGTTCTGGTGTTTAGTGGTCGATGGTTTGATAGGTGTCACCATCCAACCCTTCATGTGCACCAAGCTCCGGTGTTTCTACATATCTACTTGACAGTTCACGTTCAGTGACGATCAAATCCCAGCCACGTGTCTTCTGGATGATACCGTACAACGCGTGTAATGTCTCGTGAAATATAGAGAAACACGAAAGCGTCGGTGTTTAACGGAACTAAGTGTTGATTTTGTCTCATACGGTTTCCGCTGATTATCGTGCGGGCCGTATGGCCGGGCACGCATGGCGAACACATGAACCGCCCGTGGATTTCGCCTGAGCTTTACACTCGCCTGGACCCTTGAGACAAATGGTTCATGTTTGGGTTGAAGCCACGCAGAAAGAAGGGATGGCGGCATGAGACGATCATTTAGACCGACATGTCACAAGAACAGCGTGCTTCGGATGGTCATACGCGCTCAGACACTGCGCAGACCGATTCCTACGATGTCAGTGAAGTTTGTTGGGAAGAGGGCTGGGGGCGTTAGGAGACGAGGGGGAGTGTCTCTCTCAGAAGGCGGTGCTGCCCCTGGACGTTGTCCTGGCAGGCGTTCTACATACTGATTCGCCACCTGGCCTTCTCCCACCAGCACTGCCAGCGCGGGGCGCTGCTGCGGCGCATGTCCTCACAGAACCGCCGGCAGGCGCACCTTACTGCACGAGATCAGCAGTGACGTAATGCATTTAGGAACCATCTGTTCGCGCTAATGCGACCTCATGCATTCCAGGAATGGCGAGATGAATTACAATTATTGGACGACTTCTTGCCCTTGAGCCAGATACTACTGCGCCTCGAAAAGTGGGATCACGCGATTGGCTGGCAGTGCAGGTGAAAATGCAATGTGTCGAAACTTTGTTCTATTTTAGGAGTCACACCGGTTTTTTGTTGAAGCACTGACGCGGACAAAGGATTACAACACGGCCGAGTTACGTATACGCGAGTTGTTCACCATGGGAGGTTATGGATACTGGACGCCGCAAATTTGGCCGTATGCATAAAAACACAAGATTCAAAGTCAGATCGAGTAACTATGGTTCTAATCGTTCAATAGAGAAACACGTGTCTGTGGAATACCAGCTCAAAACCAGTCATGTACTCACACAACGGATCGTCCTTTGGTTTGGGAGTATTGACCACACCACGGCGCGGGGAGTCTGACCAGCACGCGGCAGCAATGCGAATACGCTGCCGCGTGCTTTTCTGCTGCCCGCCGCCAGATCAGCAGAAGCGCCACGCACAGGCGGTGGTATTACAGGCTCTGGATAGGGTCGATGGCGTATCGCCACGGAGACAGACAGGTATCGAGCGCGAACAGGGGACAAAAAGCGGCAGCCGTGTGCATTCTGATAGCGTGGCGGGCGGCCTTTGCGTCATATCCTCTTGTCAACCCCAGTCGGCACGGCCACAGGGCGACACTAGGTTGACAACCCATGAATGACAGACCTGACGAAATCCTCCGCGGGGCTCTGTCGTTTTGCGGAAGGGTGCGGTCAGGGGTGCGAGCGCCAGCCATCGACAAATGCCAGCGAAGTGACGTGTGCGGTTCAAGAACAGATCCACGGCAGCGTCTGAGCGGAGGCCGTCAGTTTCAGATGGTGTGGAACAGTGGAACGCGAACTTTCACTGATCGTTATCTAATGCAACGCCATGTGGGATAACATAGCACGCGCCGGCGTGGGAGGAGGAGCGTGCTCTGGACGGCTCGCTCCCGCAGTGGTACTGTAGATCCGGAGCCGCGCATGGACGATGCCGTGGCGGAATGTGCTGCTTTTCCAGGCCGCCGGCGCGATCCACCCCCGAAAGCCGATGAGGCCCGGGCGGAGTCGGCACCGCCGCTGCAAACTCCCCGGACAACAGCGCAGTGACAAGGCGTTTTCTCGTCCTTCAGCAAGAGGCTCCTTCGGCACGCAGCAGTGTGTCACGTGGTCAGATAAAGCGTTGCTGCTCGGTTCTAGAGTTCTGCGATTCAGCTCCTTGGCAGAAAGCTTTCATCGGTCCCGGTTTTCGTGAGGCTCGGCGGCGCAGGTGGTCTCGGTTGTCACGCGTGTCGAGTACTCACACAATGATGGGCTTCTTCCGACGAGACGCCGGCTCCAGCTGTGGTCGGAGCCGAATACAGATGTCGTTTAAGGTTGGTAACGGACTGGTGACCACCAGCTGGCTGTTGTAAGGTTGGTAACGGACTGGTGACCACCAGCTGGCTGTTGTAAGGTTGGTAACGGACTGGTGACCACCAGCTGGCTGTTGCCAGGGGTCAATTTCATGGTGCGATCGGGTCGTTGTGAGGCGCCCGTTATCATCCCACGATGCATCACGGCTTTACTGCGCACAGCTCGACTCGAAGCCCCAATGAAGATCGAGACCGGTCCCGTGCTAATTACCTGGCTGTTCCAGGAGAGCTGATAAGTCCGCAGTAACGTCACACAGTCTGCCGGTCGCCACATTCACAGCTACCTACACGATGCCTGCCCGCGCCGGGCGTGTAGAAAGCTCCGCCCTCGCAGCAGGAAACAGTGACGGTCCTGAAGGTCAGGCCATTGATGACGATGATACCGACTGCTTCCACGCGCCGAGACTGCCTGGTCATACAACACCAAAATCAGGAGAGCATTACAGGCCTTTTCCTCGTCCGTCACGTATCACCTCGTCGCGGGAGAATCCGCCCGTTGCATGCGGGTTGTCGAGGTCACCGAGCGTTCGTACGACACGCCAGTATTCGTGTGCACCACACCTTTCTAATGTATTACAGCTTGTAACAGTTGTACCGCTGCTTGTAAAAACACCGTCGGTAGTTCAAACGCGGCTCACCTCGGAGACGCGGAGCCGGTGTGTGTGGGGGGGGGGGAGGGGAGGGGAGAGGGGCGTGCCCGGTCTCCTTCGTCGGCGTCGTAGCCGCACAGACGAACGGTCGCCCGCACAACCAGGACTGTCCAGCCTAAGACCACCGGCCAAGCCCAGCTGTACTCTGGTTCTTGTGAGGCCTGGAGGGACGCCGCAACAGCAAGCCGTTTCACACACCGGCGACACAACCACGACTCTGCACCGAACCATTCGGCCAATTTTCCTTTGCGGTATTGTTCCCAGAAATTATGCAAGAAACCGTTCGTGAGTCATACCACTGGTCAGTGTAGCAATATTCGCTGGCCCGCATGTTGCCAAAGAGCCTTGTGCTCTAAGCGCGACACCGAAACTGGAGACGCGGCTATGGCGTGGTCCAAACCTCCCCCAACCCTCCCTGCTTATCCGCCCGAGCGGAGGCCCCCGGAAACATCAAAATCAGGCGCCTGTGAGCACGAACGGGCGCACCCGCGCGTGATTGGCACAAGCACTGAACGACGCGGACGGCTGACTGACGGACGTCGATTCTGAACCCAACATAGGCGCCCGCCCTACGCTGTGCAGCTTACCAGGCGCTGTGTACGTCCAGCTGTTACAGGGCGCTGTGCATGTCTCGCTGTTACAGGGCACTGCGCATGTCAGCTGTTACAGGGCGCTGCGTATACCCAGCTGTTACAGGGCGCTGCGTATGTCCAGCTGTTACAGGGCGCTGTGTATGTTCAGATGTTACAGGGCGTTGCGTATGTCCAGCTGTTACAGGGCGATATGTACGTCCAGCTGTTACAGGGCGCTGCGTATGTCCAGCTGTTACAGGACGCTGCGTATGTCCGGCTGTTGCAAGGCGCTGCACATGTCCAGCTGTTACGGGGCGTTGTGTATGCCCAGCTGTTACCGGGCGCTGTGTATGTTCAGATGTTACAGAGTGCTACGTATGTCTAGCTGTTACAGGGCGCTACGTATGCTCAGATGTTACATGGCACTGCGCATGTTCAGCTGTTACGGGGCCTTGTGTATGTCCAGCTGTTATAGAACGCTGCGTATGTCTAGCTGTTACAGGGCGCTGGGTATGTTCAGATGTGATAGAGCGCTGCGTATGTTCAGATGTCGCCGGGCGCTGCGTATGTTCAACTATTTCAGGGCGATGTGCATGTCCAGCTGTTGTAGACCGCTATGTATGTTCATCGTGTGCCTCAGTTGGACTTGTCATCCACTTTTCTACAGCAGAAACAGGTGCACGTCTGGTGCAGACAGCATCCATGGTTGACTAAATTATTTCACGAGCTGGGTACGCTTTGAAACTCAGGGTCATGAATGAAAAAATTACCATAAACATAAGAATAGAGACTCAGAAACAGCGACGAGCTTAAAACACACTGGTTTCTGACTGGACTAATGTATGAATGTCTGGAGATACTTGCCAGATCTATGTGCCATTCTGTACTCTTCGCAGCACAGCACTTGGCAGTTATTCAAAAATATATCACAGTTGATGCTACTGCATCAGCGGGAAAAGCCTCTCTAACTCTCTGAAGAGCTTCTCCTCATCCTCACTCTTATCGGTCACGTACAGGGCGTCCAGAAGACGCACGCACTCCTCAAGCCCCACCTGGGCACCGACCAAGCCTGCGGCATTCGCGCCACTCGCCGCCTTACTGACGGCTGACTCACCACCGCCACCTATCGTCCGCGTCGCGCACTGTGCCTCCTCGCCGCCGACCGCCGGTGGCGCCACCTCCGCGCCGTTCGTAGAGGCGGGCCGGGAGGCCGTGCCATTGGACTGTAGTGCCCTCTGGTGCAGTACCGACAGCACGGCTGCGAGGATGTGCTGCCGACCAGCCTGCCACACACCACCTGCCGGGAAGCGCGGCAGTTAGACGATATCCCACCCGGAGATGCGCGACAGGCAGTCGGCTGGGCCGGTCATGCCTCGCACACTCCGGCTGAAGTGTGGCTGAAACCAGCATCTACTCCGGAATCAGAAAATTTCTAAGGACACATCAATCCCTTTGAATTTGCGCTGCAGGCCGCAGTCGTAATTGAGGTACCCAATTTCCTGTGATTCAAGTCGGCTGAAAGTGTAATTAACAACAAATTTCAACAGTATCACAATACTTATACATGTGTAACAACTGAAATAATCACATCCATGTTCAGACATCTTGTTACGAAGAATATTGTACCGGTTACGCTCCACCGAGGACCATAAATCCGCCCGTTTTGAGGTTTTTTTAAGAAGATGTCAGTTTCAAGCGTGTCTGATAAAAGTTACAATACCAAATATCAAATACCAAATACAATACCGATACCAATTCGTTTATTCTAATGCGTACCATATGTTGGGCTGTTTAGGCAGTACGTTTGTTCCTTCGCCGTATCCGAAGGGTGTCCGGTGTCACTATCTTTGTGTGCTAATGTTTTTGCGCGTGTGCTAGTTTGACGCGAGCGCAATGTACATACAAATAAAACTCAAAGATATCACACCCTGCATAGCCGTTATACCACCATAAATAGATATAATATTGTGACACTGGTACAGCCCAATGTTCGGACAAACAGTAAGGGACCATGTAAAATTCGCACCAGGTCCATCATAGAGCAACGCGGGGCTGCAAAAGTCGCCAATTTCGAGACCGGGCGCGAAGACGGCGGTTGTGGCTAAGGTCCGGGGACGCCGGGCCGTGTAAACTGCAGACGTATAGCTCAGTTAACCGTGGTCTAAACCGAGGGAAACCTGGCCCGACTGAAGACATACAGTCCAGTTCACTGTAACCACTATCCACCTTATGCGTACTTTTCGCAATACTTTGGTGACAGCAACCGAGGGCGCAAAACACTACAAAGTTATGGATTTCGTCGGCTGAGATTGCCAAGCCCGGCCAGATCAACACCCCGCTAATCGCCGACAGATGTTATTGACGAAAAGGCGCGCATCGCAGAATCAAAACCATAAAACCAGGTACTGCATGGAGAAACTTGTCCGCCCAACTGTCACGAAAACCGGACATTGCCAGACATTGACCAACCCCATCGATATGTCCCGAACTGTGACAAGGCACCATTGGCTCACGCTTTGGCACCACCTGCAAGATAACTAGTAACCATGACGCCTGTCGTCACCTCGCTCGTCCCACGCCAAGCAAGCGATCTGATTGGCTGCCAAGCACGAATGCTATAAGGGCTTCTGCGAAGTCCACTGAGCCTTTCGCCAGTCAGCTTCGTCGGACTGTGCTACAGGACTGAGCCATTTCTCTTGCGTTGGTACCAGTGGGTTCGAAGTTATACTAAGCTGCTCGGGGTGGGAGTCGAAAGCACCTCCACGCGCCCGGAATCGACGGCTTGATTTTGCTGCCGCACACTCAAGCAGAACTATGCTGCGCAGGCGTGTAGTCATTACTAGCAATAGCAGCATGATTCCAATCAGTACCGGAGGTCGTGGGCACGAGACCGGCGGCGGCAGGTCTGTCCCACGTACCGGAGGTCGTGGGCACGTGACCGGGTGACCGGCGGCGGCAGGTCTGTCCCACGTACCGGAGGCCGTGGGCACGTGACCGGCGGCAGGTCTGTCTCACGTACCGGAGGCCGTGAGCACGAGACCGGCGGCGGCAGGTCTGTCTGACGTACCGGAGGCCGTGGGCACGAGACCGGCGGCGGCAGGTCTGTCTCACGTACCGGAGGCCGTGGGCACGTGACCGGCGGCAGGTCTGTCTCACGTACCGGAGGCCGTGGGCACGAGCACGGCGCAGAGGCTGGGCAGCTGGGCGGGCACGCTCTCCCGGCAGCGGGCCAGCACGTGTACTAGCCGGTCGTCAGAGCCGGTGTCATCCAGCGCGGCCAGGCACAGCTCGGAGGCCAGGCTCAGCCAAAGCTGTCGGGGCGGGGCGACGCGTCAGGACAGACCACCTGGGTGGGGCACCCTCCCCGGGGGCTGAGCGGCGCCCGAGGTGGGACATCAGAGCAGGCCACCGAGGCCGAGGGACCCTCCCTGGAGGCGGCGCGGTGCCGGAGTTGGGACGTCAGGGAGGGCCAGGTGGGCGAGCGTCCAGCCTCCAGCCTCCAGCGTACACAAGGTGTGTGCCCTCCCCAATTTCGACATGGCGACAGGGAACCCCGTAGGACGAAAAATTGATTTTCAATCGGCACCACTCTACCAGACCATGCGTGATTGTTGATAACCGCTAGCCGCCAAAAGTGGCTTCATACGCGTTCACTATCCAGATGGCCGCCCTACCTCTCGACACACCAAAATATCGAACAATCTCAAGCCACATGAAGACTGCATCAATCATGCCTATTGATCACCGCTCTACAGCGCAGCTGCCTGACTCCCAGCTCACACACCAAAATCTAGAACAATCTCAAGCCACATGAGGACTGCATCAATCATGCCTATTGATCACCGCTCTACAGCGCAGCTGCCTGACTCCCAGCTCACACACAGCGCAAGGCCCATGACGAGTGTCTTCCAGACCGCACAGAGCGAGCCCACACTGCCTCAGTCCCACCCCCTTCTCTTCCTCATGCACTCTGACCTGTCTAGCGGTGGTGGGTCGGGTGCGGTAGGACACGTCCTGAAGGCTCTGTTCTTCACAGTCACCCGGCTCCACACCAGCCGTCCGCCAGGTCTCCCGCACCCGCTCCAGCAGCGACCCCGCCGGACGCTCCCCGACCGGCACTGCGCGGGCGCCCTGCTTCTCCAAGCCAGCCGGCGGCACGGCACGCTCCGCGCCGGCTGCTGGGGTGGGCCCCTCTGGGTACGCCACCCGGACGCCGTTCTCCGAGCCGGCTGGCGAGCCGTCCTCCTCCCCCGAGCGAGCTGGTGGGGGGTCCTCGGAGCCGGCTGGCGAGCCGTCCTCCTCCCCCGAGCGATCTGGTGGGGTGTCCTCGGAGCCGGCTGGCGAGTCCGCCTCCTTCGGGCAGCGAGATGACAGAGTGTCCTGCCGTTGGACGGCCGGCCGCACGCTGAGATCGCCGCGATCCGACGCGTCAGCGGCAGCCTCGCCCGCCTGAGCGACCGCTTCGCCGGCGGCCTCTGCCCGCGCCGGGGTGCTGTTGTCCCGTGGCGTGCCGCCCCGGCCCGCCGCCGGCACGACCGGTGCGTCCTCGGCGGCGGCCTCTGCCTGTGCCGGGGTGCTGTTGTCCCGTGGCGTGCCGCCCCGGCCCGCCGCCGGCACGGCCGGTGCGTCCTTGGCGGCGGCGCCCCGTTGGTCGCCGCGCAGAATGCCGACCGCCCACGTGAACAGCTGTTCTCTGACCTTCTCCAGCGCCGCGATCAGCACGCGGTGCGTCAGGCACAGGTACACCCCCGCCTGGCCAGGCACAACAAAGATGGAGTTAGGCGCCGGCAGAGGACAGGTTCAGATGACGCCAAATGGCGGCCAACAGCGGCGGCCCCGACAAGGCCGGCAGACCCCTGCTGCCTGCCATGCGGGCGGTGGTGGGTACCGCAGTGCCATGACATAGTCGCAGGTGCGCTTCCCTGAATGTCAGCAACCGCAGGAACGCGACAACGGCGCACAACGTTGCCGGTATATAGACCCGCTTCCCGCGTGGCCCTAAGACACGACACCCCTGAAGTCCGCCGGCCACACAGCCGGCCAGCGCTTCCTCCACGTCCCCCGTCAAGCCGACCGCCGCAACGGCGACGCCAACTCACGGTGAGCGCCGGCGTCTCGCGCGCCGCCGCCAGGCCGGCCTCCCAGTCGGCGCGCAGGCAGCTGGTGTGTAGACAGAGCAGCGCGAGCGCGCGCGCCTGGGCCGGGTCGCCGGCGACCGCCGCGAGCCGCGCTGCCAGCCGCAGCGAGCCGGCGTCCGAGCGACGGGCGAGAACGCCGGCCGCCGCCGCCGAATCCCCCAGCGACAGGTAGCTGTGGAGGGGGAGGGGGCGGGGGTCAGGGGTGAGGGGGCAGGTCACGGCGAGCTGGTGGGTGGAGTGACGAGTCGGCAGGGGAGAGGGCATTTCATCGTGAACACATCATACCAAGGGCAATTCGCTGACCACATCTTAACGCCACACGGATAGTAGTCAACTCAACATTACGACATTAAATACTTCAAAAGCTAAGTCGACTAAATATTTGAGACATTGCACGAAAGGCCATCCACCCAACTCCTTTAAGGAAGTCAATAATCTTCCTCCGGCTTTCTTCAAGTTTCATCTCAGCTGTCCTTACTGACCCGTCCTCTGCTCCTCCCCACCATAACACAGCTCCCCATCGTCCCACTGGGCCCCGTCCGCTACCCGAACCGGCCGGCCGCGAGCCACCCGGCCCGCTCTCACCACTTGGCCGCCTGCTCGACGTTGCCGTCCGTGACCAATTGCTCGGCCCACTGACGCAGGATGCGCCCGTGGCCAGGGTCGCCGGCCGGCAGCCGGAGGCGGGACACGCACAGCGCCTCCCGGTACAGGCCGTGGCGCAGCAGGAGCGCCACCGACTCCGGCACCTGACAGACCCAGCGGGGCGTGAGCGGCCGGCCAGCCCGCCCAGGGCACGGCCGGGAGCGGGCACCTGACAGACCCAGCGGGGCGTGAGCGGCCGGCCAGCCCGCTCAGGGCACGGCCGGGAGCGGGCACCTGACAGACCCAGCGGGGCGTGAGCGGCCGGCCAGCCCGCTCAGGGTACGGCCGGGAGCGGGCACCTGACAGACCCAGCGGGGCGTGAGCGGCCGGCCAGCCCGCTCAGGGCACGGCCGGGAGCGGGCACCTGACAGTCCCAGCGGAGCGTGAGCGGCCGGCTAGCCCGCCCAGGCCACAGCAGACAGATCGGTCGCATCGAAGACCCGGCCTCCGACAGGGGCGACACGCAGAGCGCTCCCTTACGTCGCGTGCGCGCGTCAGCGGGTGTCCGGCACGGCTGGTGGCACCGCGCCGCCCGAGGAACATCAGCGCCGAGAGCGACACACAGTACAGGCCATGGCACACTACTACAGAGACGAGATCTGTCCCAGCGGCGGCCAAACGGGTGCCGCACCCGACTGCCGAGCGGCGGGCAACAACGTTCAAGGTTTGAGCCACGCTGGATGCGATCGTGACTTATTTTGTACGCCTCCTCGCTGCGCAACGCTACTGCATTGCACGATACAAGCCCCCCGTGCGCGCGTGTGTGTCTGTGCGTGTGTGCGTGCACGCGTCTGTGTGTCTGTGCGTGTGTGCATGCTTGCGTCTGTGTGTCTGTGCGTGGGTGCGTGCGTGCGTCTGTGTGTCTGTGCGTGGGTGCGTGCGTGCATGTGTGTGCTTATCGTCGTTGTTACCTTGTGACAGGCTAGCAGGACGCCTGAGGCCCTCAGGCATTCCTTAGAGTTCTCCAGCTGTTCGGAGTATTTCACGCTCATCTCCTCCCAGAATCTGCCAACGAGATGGAGCTGGGGTGGAGCACGTTGGATATTCTCAGGAACTGTACGAGGAGAAACATCAAACACTTCCAGGCAGAGCGCTGTTGCCAGTCGCAAGGGCGGCTCATCGCGAGCTTCCCCAGTCCACTCCACTCTGTCCAGCAGTTTTCGAGTCTGTCTGCCGAGAAAGCGACCGTCGGATCATCGAGAACCCAGCCCGGCAGAGCACCCTCGTCTCGAGTGTTCCAGTGATAAGTTAAGAGGTGGCTATAGCCTGAGGCAACCGGCAGACGGCCGCGCCAATACAGCCTAAAGGCAGTGCTCCACATTTGAGGGCATTGAAGCAGGCATGATGAAATAAGCTCACTTATGATTACTGGTATGCTTTCAAGTAGAAAAGACTGCCCCAGGCAACACAATTTCTCCGTTTAGTAAATATGCCCCTCAATATGTCATTGACTGCGTCATCGTACCCTGCACACTGATGGAGAGCCAACTGACGGCCTGTACCTGAAAACCGTGATCGCGAACGCCAACTATGAACGACTACACAATCATATGCCTTTTGGCATTTATCGTCGCATGGCTGATGTATTGGCAGGTTTAGAATGACGTTAATATGGCGTTGTGGACGCCTGGGTGAAGTTGAAATAGTCTCCCCCGAAAGAGTCTACACATATTCGCGGGCGTGTGGCTCAGGAGCTAGAGCGGCTTAGGGCTGAAAAGGGGCAGGGTTGTGAACTGCACCGAATGATCTTCAAGATGACTGCTTCAGTTCAAAACCCCACACAAATGTGGAACATCCCCTTTAAATGCAAACCGGTCGACCCCGAGCCTAGGAAAGGAGCTCATGCCAAGAAGTCCCCTGGATGGATGAGGTCGGATGAGGGGAGGGGGGGAGGGGCGCTGACTAGCATGACATGGGAGGCCCGAGCAGCCCCATTGGAATCAGCGTACGACATCAAGGCCCCCTCGCACTCCTACCCGGCCCAGGGGGAACTCCGGAACTCCGGGCGCTGGTCGGGCCAGCGCCCGCCACGGCCCCGGGGGGCGGGGAGCTCACCGGTAGGAGACCATGGGCGCCAGGGCGAGCAGCTCGTCCGTGAGGCGGGCCTCGGCGGCGGCGCGGCGCACCACCGCTGCCGTGTCGCCTCGCCACACCGACATCTGCACCAGCTGAGCGTGACTCCGCTGAGACTCGTGGTGCGACACTGGGGGCGTACAGACGGTCAGCGACGCAGCACGACACCGCTGGTGGTGCGAGGCTGGGGGCGCTAAGACGGTCAGCGACGGAGCACGACACGGCTGGTGGTGCGAGACTGGGGGCGCTAAGACGGTCAGCGGGTTAGCGACGGAGCACGACACGGCTGGTGGTGCGAGACTGCGGGCGCTAAGACGGTCAGCGACGGAACGCAGCACGACTGGTGGTGCGACATTGGGGGCGCTAAGACGGTCAGCGACGGAGCACGACACGGCTGGCGGTGCGACACTGGAAAGAGCGGGACACATAGCGAACAGGCCAGCCTCGTCGATGCCACCGACAGAGCGTGTCACCGACAGAGGTCGTGATTCATGATGCGGCACAGAGCAGGCCGCTGGGGGCGCACAGGCAGCGAAGGCGGGTGCCGGCGCCACTCGTAACACGCCACCTCTGAGGACGGGTCCAGACTGACACGCCACCTCTGAGGACCTGCACCCTCTGAGGACCTGCACCCTCACCAGCCATGTGACCGAGCTTAGAAAGTGTGTGGAGACGAGATAGCGCCTCTGCACAGCACGCTGGGCTTAGTCCTCTAATGTTCCCAATACATGTTTGGCACAAAATGCCCACGGATGTCGACGAGCCCTTACGCTGAAATAACAACGGCTAACGTTCCCACTATTTTCCCCATGTTCTGACGCTAGTACTGGCCGCCGGAGCACGCACTCTCCATGTCGACCAGCTCCCGGAGAGCCGCGTCATCGCCGAACAGGCCCAGGTGTTTCCAGCGCTGGCCGTCGGCGTCGCTGGCGTCGCCGGGCGCCAGCAGGTGCTCCAGGTCAGCCTGACTGTGCACCTTGCCCCGGTTCTCGGCCAGCCCGGTCAGCGGGAACAGCGAGCGCTGGGTGCGCGTCTTGCGCCCCTCTCCCAGCTCTGCACGACAGGGGGCGCTGCTGAGGCCGTGACGCAGGTCGGGCTTTTATCATTAAGGCCTCGAGGGCCCGGGAAAAAGAAGCGCGATCAAGCGCGACCGATATCATCAACTGCTGCGCATCCTGCCGTTCAAACAACACAAGCAGCGTAGTATATTTCACAAGCTCTATCGCAGCAACCAGTATAAAATGCTATCACATCAACAAGTCAGGAAATAAGATGCGTCGATACACATCATAATGTAGTTATCAAAACCGCACTCAAGGGAAAAGCCAGGTATCTTCGATCTAACTACGCTCGTTCGGCATAAAGACCCACGGAGAACGCAACAGCAGTAAGAACGCATTGGCCTTAATTGATTGGGGGAATGGGCCTTGTTTCATGCCAAACATCAATTACAATATTTTTTGCTCAGGATATGCTACTAAGCATCTATGGTCAGCAAGCAGCATTGCTATGCTTTTACACGAGTGGTCTCGACGAAAAAAAACACGATGACAGGCCTCATTCGGTTTCTAAGAATGTGGTATCCAGTAAGACAATTGCTCTCGGGAAAACAAGACCATGCTCAAACACATCAGTCGTCAGGCATCCTCCTCTCCGCCTCCCTCTGTCCACGCTCTCACTTCACCTCTCTCCACCCTTGCCCCCCCCCCCCCCCTCCGTCTGCAGGCCCCTCACCTCTGGGCTGGGCGGCCGCAGCGGACGCTGGCCGGTCGTCGCTGACGTCCGGGTCATCGGCAGCAGGCCGGGGCCCTCTCCGCTCTTTCCTGCTGGCGGCGGGCGGAGCCGCGCGCTCGCTCTCCGCCGCCGCCACTGTCGGCATACGGGCCCGTCACGTCCGGACGCAGCGAGAGCCCACCGGGGCAAGGAGTGTGGGCGGAGGACGTGAGACTGTCTGCCCTGAGGTTCGACACGACCCGGTATGAATCTAGAAATACCATGCCTTTCTGGCAAACATTGTGTTGCGTGTAGAAAAGTAATTCAGTGACAAAATCAAGTCAGGTTCCCGCTTTAAGCAATGCTTCAGTTCCCATCCAAAAGAATCTGTGCCAACATTCTCTACATGACTGCGAGGACCACAAGAATCAGTGCACACGGCAAGCAGATGCTGGAATTAAAGAGCTGCTCCCAAGCGCACAAATATGCAACCCCGTCACCCCCGTAACAACGCCGCGTCAACCCCGCCATTCCCACGCCCACCCCATGACCGCGCGCCCGGCCACCTATCGTCACCTTTCTCGGGCAGGGCGGTGCCCTGCCGATCGACGCTCCACAGGTGGAGGGCGCTGTCGTCGCCGCCGCTGAACACCCAGCCGGGCCGGAGCGGGTGCGGCAGGCAGGCGCGCGCCGGCCGGCCGTGGCCGCCGTACACGGCCAGCAGCGCGCCCTGGCTCGTGTCCCACACCTGGCCGTGGAAGCGCCGGACGCCCGTCACGTGCCGGTCACCAGAGGGACCGGACGCGGGGCGGTCACGAGTTGCGATGGCGATGGCGAGGGGTTTCCGCCACGTGTACCAGCTTTTATAATAACCGCATGCATTAGTGACGCGCGTGGCCATGATGGGTGGGGCGCAAACGATGTGTTTACCGCCGATTACTGAAATGTAGCGAAACAAAAAATAGACAAACGCGAAGACAGAATTTAAATGAAGACGTCCAATCACAATGACAATATTCACAGCTATACCATAATGCCGCTGCCATCGCAATGATAACCATTTATCCATGTACGACCAGGAGCGTGCTCCGGTCTCGTCGGCCAGTCCCGACCCGGCGGTGGTCTACCGACCCTGATGGAGGCGTCCTGGGAGGCGGAGATGAGCCGGCCGGTGGTGTGCGGCGACCAGGCCAGGTCCAGCACCTTGGACCGGTGGCCGCTCAGCGTCACGGCCGGCTGCAGCAGGTCCGGACAGGCAGAGTCACCTGGCGGCGGCAGCGGCGACGGCAGGTCAGAGGCCGGCGAGCGCAGCCGAGGGCGAGACCGGTGGCGGCGCGGCACCACATACCGGGCTTACCTCGATCACGCGCTTGTGACAACGTTGAGACAACGACGACGACGGGACATGAAATAAACCGCTAGTACGGTCAGCATTCACCACGCGCACACAGTGCACGGCGACACACAGGGCGCGCGCATCCACCATTTGACGGATGGTGGATGCGGTGATGACGGACGGATTTTGGACAGAACCCGCAAGCTTCGGATAATCAATGCTAGAATGGATCTTCGTGCCGGTGAGCTGCAGACCTCACATCAGAGAAGGCATGCAACTTCTGGGCCTGACGATGGGAGCACGGACACAGCTCACACAGGTGTGACATGCAATCCTGTTTGACCCCCTACAAGATATTGAAAAATCGTGGAGTTAGACAAGACTGCCCCCCCCCCCTCACACTCACCTAGATCCGGCACTACAAACACGCTGACGTGAGAGTCGTACGAAGCGACGGCCAGCGCGGTGGAGGCGTCGCCGGGCTGCGGCTGCGGCGCCCAGCAGAGCGCCGTCACCAGGCGGCGGTGGCCGAGCGCCGCGGCGCGCCGCTGCCCGTCCGGCGCCAGCAGCTCGACGGCGCCGTCCTGGCGACCGAGCGCCGCGCCGCCGCCGCCCCAGCTCAGCTGCGAGCAGGGCGCGCGGCCGGCGGCCGGCGCCCAGGTGGCGGCCGCCAGCCGGGCCGGCTCGTGCCGCCACAGGGCGCCCAGCGACAGCGAGAAGAGCGCGCCGGTCGGCCCCCACGTGACGCTGTAAACGGCCCCGGCGTGGTGGTCCGGACAGAGCTGCGGCGGCCGGCTCGACGCCGGGTCGCACACGCCCACGCGGCCCTCCGCCGTGCCGAAGGCCAGCCGCGTGTCCTTGGACGGGTGCCAGGCCACCTGAAGCCGGGGACAGACCTGAAGACGGGCTACCTGAAGCCGGGGACAGACCTGAAGACGGGCCACCTGGAGACGGGGACAGACCTGAAGACGGGCCACCTGAAGCCGGGGACAGACCTGAAGACGGGCCACCTGAAGCCGGGGACAGACCTGAAGACGGGCCACCTGAAGACGGGCCAGCAGAGCGGCGCGTGAAGCGGGGTGGCAAGCGGGTGAGGAGGGACGGGCGCTGGCGTCAAGGACTCTCTGCAAACAGCTGCACTAGTCAGCGCGTCGTCCGCGGCGTTTCCAGACACGCAATCACGCACGCATACACTGGTGCGCGCAGCGGGTGGACGCCGCCTACCGTCAGCACGCTGGCCTTGACGGCCTGCCAGATGGACGTGACGCTGTAGGAGCAGTCGGCGCCCAGGTTCCAGACCCGGATCGTACTGTCACCGCACCCGACGGCGACCCTGCAGCACAGGCGCGCCGGTTACCGGCCTAACCAAACGGCCGACTACGCCGCGTTCAGTGATAATGGGCGCTTGGTATTCTGCGTTCTGGTGTTGACGATGCTGCACCTCAAACGTCGAAATATACGACCATGTTCGGATTTTGCATTACGACGGGCCAGTCAAAAGCCATCACACGTGTACCTTCCAGCTCCTTAAATCAATCACCACATGCCATAACTGTACTAGCCTGCAGACGACACAGAAGAGTACGACTCCACAGCAAACTCGACAACTCCAAACGCCTTGAGGGTAGCACCATGGCCCACCTGCCGGGGTCGACGGGGCAGCAGTGCAGCGCGTTGACGTGTCCGCCCAGCGAGGGCACGGCGCTGGTGAGCAGCGAGCGCGGATCGTGCGCCACCAGCTGGCGCTCGATACCGCTGCTCACCACCATCTGCCCCAGCCGCACCAGGTTGAACAGGGTGCTGCCGTGGAGCCGATGCACCACCTGCAAGCCGACGGGATCAGCTGGTGGACGCGGACCGAGAGGGATACGCGCAGGTCGGCTAGTTGGGATTCTTTATTTCTTCTGGCAGGTGCACACTCACTGACCGTTTTCGTTCAGGCATACCTGGGGGTCACCACTTAAACGCTATTTCGCATGGCATGGCTGCTGCCCTTCTCCGTCATCTCCCCCCCCCCCCCCCCCTGACGATGGGCAGCCCGTCATTACCGTATTCATCTGTGCTCTCACCCGACAGTCGACAGACTCATCCGACTCTGGCCGGACGACTGTCAGCCCGCCTGGCCGTTGCCCCGCTCGTCCGTCGCCTCACCTGGCAGTTGTCACTCTCATCCGACTCTGGCCAGACGACTGTCAGCCCGCCTGGCTGCTGCCCCGCTCGTCCGTCGCCTCACCTGGCAGTTGACAGACTCATCCGACTCTGGCCAGACGACTGTCAGCCCGCCTGGCTGCTGCCCCGCTCGTCCGTCGCCTCACCTGGCAGTTGACAGACTCATCCGACTCTGGCCGGACGACTGTCAGCCCGCCTGGCTGCTGCCCCGCTCGTCCGTCGCCTCACCTGGCAGTTGTCAGACTCATCCGACTCTGGCCAGACGACTGTCAGCCCGCCTGGCCGTTGCCCCGCTCGTCCGTCGCCTCACCTGGCAGTTGTCAGACTCGTCCGACTCTGGCCAGACGACTGTCAGCCCGCCTGGCCGTTGCCCCGCTCGTCCGTCGCCTCACCTGGCAGTTGCCACTCTCATCCGACTCTGGCCAGACGACTGTCAGCCCGCCTGGCCGTTGCCCCGCTCGTCCGTCGCCTCACCTGGCAGTTGTCACTCTCATCCGTTAGCCGCCAGCGTAGCAGCTGGCCTGCCAGTCCGCTGCTGTAGAGGCAGTCGGCAGAGCTCCACAGCACGCTCAGCCAGGTCCGCTCGCCGGAGGGGGCGCGGCGCGACCCCTCCGGCGCCGTCACGCGCTGGGTCACGTGACAGCGGCCGCCACGCGTGCCCCACACCCTGCCGGCGGACGGCCGCCCACGGTCTCAGGCTTCGCGCCGCTACAGCTCCAAGCCGGCCACTGCTAACCATGATAACAGCTGTGAAATCGTTCTTTCCAGAACGCTGATGTTTATGAGATTAATGTCATATAGGTTAACAGAGAAGTCTTTTGATGACTGAAACACTGACGTTGCTGACGATGGCAATGACCGTCATTTGGTAAGCAATGAGTTTGCACACAAGACGCACGTGGACGTATTTTTCTCTGAGAACACACATGTTTAAACACAACTCGACATTTACCGTAGCGTTTTGTCCTTGGCGACGGACGCCAGCAGGTGATCCTGCTCGAAGGAGAGCAGCGTGTTGAGCTCGGGGCACCAGCTGATCGAGGTCACGTCCTCGTCGTGGCCGCGCATCTTCTGTAGAATTCGGCCGCCGGCTGAGATGAAGACAACGCGGCGACCGTATAAGTTAGTCATGTGAACAGGAGAGCAGTTCAACGCACTGGTCAGCATACTGCATGTCAAAAAGCAAAAACAGAACAACCTTTGCACCAGTGCATTGACAACCTGTACACATATCTTATTTGCATGTGTATTGGGTGCAGGTTAGACAGAAGACCATTGCCAAGTGTAAACTACTTCTCCAGCCACTAAGTGACTAAGTTCTTGACACTCAGAGCACCCTATTGAGATAACCGACATCAAACCACACATTACTGAACATCAGCAAGCAAGCAAAAACTGTGTTCACTTATCCTCGGCAGCAGTCAGTGCCACCTACCACGATGGTACAGACGAGGGTTTTGCTACCTTTCAGGGGGACAATCCAAGTGGGAGGCAGCCCAAATGGCGGCTAGTCAGCGTTACCTGCCAATGAAACCGTCCAGAGGGCGCCGCGCCGCCCGGCCACGGCCACCACGTGCTCGGTGTGCGGTGAGCAGCGCAGGTCAGTGGGTGCCAGACGCTCCAGGAAGAGCGTGCGCGTGGTGTGTGCCACCGTGTCCCAGACGACGAACGAGCCGCGCTCGTCCACCGACACGGCCACGTGCCGCGAGCGCGCCGCGTGGTCTACGGCCACCACCTTCAGCTTCTGCGGACAGGTACGCGCCGGCTGCATCACACAAGGGGACGGCATGCAGTGCCACAGCTTGGTGACGGCCAGTTACCACGGCGCCAAACCTGGGGCTTCCAATGGCATGCAATATGTCCCATGGCACTTCAAAAAGAGGGTTCTGCGCATGTGACATGTCTAGTGCCACCACAGTTGTGTCATGCTGCAGCCATTTGTGGCAGCATGGATCTCCAAATGTTATTATATGGTTCAGTCAGTATGCACTGGCACTATTGTGTCACCATTTTTTGCATCGTAAGCACATTCCTTTACTTGTACTTGATGCCAGCGACAGTGGCCATATCTTATCTATCATGAAATCAGAACACACTTGTGACTGCATTTCAGATGACACCTTGCACACATGCACACATACATGCCCATTGTGCTGCTTCTCGCAGTGGGCCTGGAAAGTGCTGTCCTCCTCAGTGAAGGTGCACCGCCACAGCTTGAGCAGGCCGTCTTCGCCGCCGGTGACCACGTGCACGTCAGCGGAGTCAGCCGGCCGCCACACCAGCGCGCTCGTGGCCCGCTCGCGGTGCGCGTCCCAGATAACGCCGTGACAGCGGAGCGCTGGCGGAGCGCCATCTGGCGCCGCGTGCCAGCTCCACACCACCACCGAGCAGCGCGCGCAGCTGACCACCAGCGAGTCACCATCCGAGGCCACGGCGCTGGCGCTGTACCAGTTGGCCGATGGTGGTAAGCAGATGGTCTTCATGGCTGCCATGGTTGGGTGATGACTGTGCTGCAGTTGAGGTGGTGTAGCCTGAGGCAATGCAGACTGACGATGTTTTGGGTGGCAGTACATAACTGGGCCACTAAATCTTCTCCACCATGCAATGGCAGCTATTGACCTATGAGAGAAAGCAGGATGGGATGGCTTGTCTGTGAACTGGCAAATGGAGGATCAAATGATGGTCCATTACCTACTAATCACCCAATAGTTAGGTGGTCCCACTTTCCAAGAGCATAAGCAGCCACACTGCAGCTTTCAACATGCTGCTGATTTGAGCTTTAGGCCAGCTGAACTTTGTGTCTCAGAAGCTGGGGACTGGGAGAGAGAGGGAGGGGGAGGGGAGTGGGTAGTCTGGTCCACCCATGCCCATTCCTGTGGAAGTGTTGTGCATTTCCACTCTCATGTGGAGGCTGTTAGAAAAGATGTCACCACTGGCAAGTTATGACAAGAGCCATTTGTTCTATGGCATTCTGGATGTGGATTGCTGAGGGGCAATACAGGTGAGTGCCAAAGGGATTTATCATGGCTTACACAAACACATTGTGCATGAACCATCTACTTTAGAGCAGAAACCCCCACTCACAATCAAACAACAGCAAGATTATATTATCTGGCATTGCAAATATGACAAATATGACAGCGACTGTATGCACTATATCAAAACATTGACAGCACTATGCCATTACAGTAGATCACAGTTTGCCTTATGCCTCTGCAGCTTTTGCACACTGACCATCAACAGGTCAAGACAATTGCCGATTAGATCTAAATATCAACTTGGGTAATGTAAGATTGGGTTAGGTTAACATATCTTAACTTTTTGTTAAATACTTGTTAGCTTTTGTGTTTCTTTGTCTTCATCAAAAAGACAACAACATTGTATGAATACAATCATGCTTAAGGGTATTGTTCTTCTTCTGTATAAACAACTTCTAAGATTCACGTAAGCATGCAGTGTCTGGTTTATGCATGTAGTTGCGCACAGCAGTTCACCTCATCATTTAGCCAACCAGCAAAAGTTCCCAACACATAATAGCTTGAGCCGCCAATTAAAGCAAGCAAGCCTACCGATAAAAAATTCGAAATCAAAGCGAACTCCTAGAGGCAAATGGATCAGCCCGGTCTTTAACTCACTGCTGCCCCCTACGCACCCTTCCCCGTCAGTACACGTGCGCTCCCCGTCCAGAACGTCCAGAACGTCCAGAAGTGGCGCGTAAAGGAGGCCCAGTCGTCAAAGAAGAAAACTCATACTTCGCTCCCTTATTTATGCTTCCTTTGAAGTTCGTCATTTGCGGAAAGCCGGTTGCGGCTAGTTTGTTGTTACTGCTGCGTGGTCATTGAGTGGTGGCGCTACGTAAAGTGCTAGGAGGGTTTGAAGTAAGTGAATGTAGACGTTGTAACAAGTTTGAGAGCTTCGATGATGATTTGGGGTTTTGGGGAGCATCGACTGTTGGATGGCTTTAACACGGTTTCTGGTTAAATTGAGATTGCATTCATTCAGCCGCTAAGCGAGTGCCTGTATCCGGTCAGTGCGAGTTTTTCTATCTCATTATTTCACTGTTCAAATTCATTACCTGCATGTGTTGGCATATGCATGCTTGCATGCCATGACAAAGGGGAGAGGAAAGAGCATATGCTCCCAGTTACTGTGCATATGGCAATGGCACAGATACAAAACTCCATTATTTGTTTTGATTTTATTTTGAGGATTTTATCCAAACATTTTGATTGGATACTGTTCTGGGATCAGCACTCATTGTCAGCATTGGGTACTGCTTGAGCTCTGCTCCCACCATTGGTCATGAAACTCCAGGCCAACCACAAAGTTTATTATAAGCATGCCACAATGCTCACTGCTCAGCATGATTGGCCTATGCACAGGTGTCAGTTTGTATCCTTAATGATGAGCCACTGGCCCTTCAAAGTCCAATTTCCCCCCTAGCAGTTGTTTAGCCCCCTGTCCCAAAATCTTTAGGAGCTTTGATATGTACATACAAAACATTTTAACTAAGCTAAAATTGTACTAATTTTAAAAATTCTAATAGTTGTTTCAGGTGTATGCTAAATAGAGCAAAGAAAGTAAAAACTGTGAGTTTAGCTTTTTCTCTTAATTGCAGCTGGCAAAGCTCTAGACTTATAGAGGCCTGTGTTTTTATAGTGTTTACTGCGGCATTTTGTCTTTTTGTTGTAATCTGCATGTTTTAGTTGCATTATTCATGTGTGTTGCTAACTCTGGTCTAGTTTTGTATCATCACATGTGTGTTTCAGCATTATTTATTGATGTATCAAGTTCTAGAGGCTGTTACATGCTGGTTTGCTGTGATTTTCTGTTACCTGTTATGAGAGAGTCAGGTGGAATATTAGCACCCATTAATGGACAGCATTGATAGTAGCTTTGTTTGAAAAAACCTTCAAATGTGGACATCTCTACTTTGGCATGAATATTCATTGGAATAATAACAAAAACCTGACATGATGTAAAAAACACTAGGTGTTTCAGGTAACACCCAGTGGCAGGCCCAAGCTCATGTGACAGAGGCTCAGCTGACGCCACACGTAGCCACAACACCAGCACAAAGTCGGCGACACCCGATGGCAGGCCCGAGCTCGCGTGACAGACCCAGATGACACCACACATAGCCACAACACCAGCACAAAGTCGGCGACACCCGATGGCAGGCCCGAGCTCGCGTGACAGACCCAGATGACACCACACATAGCCACAACACCAGCACAAAGTCGGCGACACCCGATGGCGGGCCCGAGCTCGCGTGACAGACCCAGATGACGCCACACGTAGCCACAACACTGGCGCAAAGTCGGCGACACCCGAAGGCAGGCCCGAGCTCGCGTGACAGACCCAGATGACACCACACATAGCCACAACACCAGCACAAAGTCGGCGACACCCGATGGCAGGCCCGAGCTCGCGTGACAGACCCAGATGACACCACACATAGCCACAACACCGGCGCAAAGTCGGCGACACCCGAAGGCCATTCACGGTGACTGGACGGTCGGTCGTATGACTGCGATTTTAGCTGGCTCACTTGAGATCTCAGCAAGCTGTGGGCAGTCACAACAGTTGACATAGCATTTAAGGGGAATTCGGAAATAACTAGGTCAGTTTTACCTGTTAGAACAAGCCCTATTTCTGTCAGCCAGCCAGCAGTGAGCTGTAGGGCTCAGACTGTTCTGTTCAAACTCAGAGTCGGGTATCCGGTCGAAACGAAAGTCCGACGAAATTAAGACCGAAGCTGTCAGTGAAGTGGACGCTGAATTCTGATAGCGTGAGGCACATAATATTTGCAATATTAATGCAGTTGGGTTGTGTCTCGTTTCAGGGAGAACACTGCAATGTTTGAACAATCGAGCCCAAGCAGCAGCGCCCTGGATGCCTTTCCAGTCCACTTCGCCTGTCGCGAGGGTGATGTGCAGGCTTTAGCAGAGTTTGTGGCAATGGGAAAAGACAAAAGCCACCTGTTAGTTGAAGACAATCTCTACCATTGGACACCAATGCACTGGGCAAGCTTCTTTGGACAAGTAAGTCCATGTGCTGTTGTGAGCTGGGGGGTTAGTTGATGCTGATCTCTGAATTTTTTTGCAATGGACAAACTTCTTTTTTGCACAAATTGTTTTAAGCTGCTGTGCAAATGAATGACATTCAGTTCTATTGCACCATGATTGGTGAGTATAATGTTTGAAAAGGATTAAAATGGCTAATATTCCACACATTTTCAGCTTCCGTCCCTGATTGTGCTGCGCGAGGCCGGTGTTGCGGTGGACACCACCACTGCCAGGTTTCGGCAGACGGCGGCCCATATCGCAGCGTTTGCCGGCTCTGATCACTGCCTCAAGTACCTGATCCATTTTGGCTGCAATGTCAATGCTCAGGTAGTTCACTATTGCATGAGGAGGTAACTTTTTACAGATGCCAGTTATTAAAAATTGTGTGTATTGACGGTGCATGCGATTTTTGGATTGACAGTTCACACAATTTGTATGTTGACAGTACACATGAGTTTTATGTCGATAGCATCGTCTTTACAATATGTGTGGTGATAAAGTGAGGAGTCATCAAGCTTGAAAATTATGGAAGTTGATAGTGTTGTGCGCAATGCAATGTGCAGGGTTTTGGGCATCCCTCTTAAAGACTATGCCAGGCTTCAGGCAACAGCCACGCAGTGAACGTCATTGAAGCATTTCGTTTGATCACCAGCGCTGTTCATGGCACTCATGCGCTGGCTATGCATTCCGTTTTATTTTCTGTGTAATCCGCGCCACGAGAACTGTGGGCAGGAGACCAGCCATCTCATTTCCAATACAGATCTGAGTCCCAATGGCAGCAACACAAACTCTTGCACGCACCATCGCTAAGCCTAGATACCTGTCGCCGCCAGGTGGGAGGTGCCCAGTGTCCCCTGTATGTTGAAGTGCGCTGCATGCTGGCTGCAGGACTACCTGTCGCCGCCAGGTGGGAGGTGCCCAGTGTCCCCTGTATGTTGAAGCACGCTGCATGCTGGCTGCAGGACTGCCTGTCGCTGCCAGGTGGGAGGTGACCAGTGTCCCCTGTATGTTGAAGCGCGCTGCATGCTGGTTGCAGGACTACCTGGGCGAGACGCCGCTGCACAAAGTGGCGCGCACCGGGTCAGTGGCGTGCGTCCGCGCGCTGGCCGACGGCCACGCGCTGCCCTCTGTTCATAACAACAGTGGTCAGACGCCAGCCGGCCTGGCTGCCGCCTGCGGCCACCCGGAGGTCACCCGCTGCCTGCTGCAGTATGAACAGTTCGTCAGTCAGCAGAACGGTGAGTGGTGCAGTATGTACCGTGGCGGCTGGGCCATCGCTGGCGCTTAAACCGCTGAGAGAACGGCGAGCGACAAGTGCTGGGTGGCGCTGTCGCTGCAGTGGTAGGGTCAGGTGACCGACTGTATCAGGAGTGGTCGCTGCATGTAAGCTGTGTGGTCGTAAAATACAAGTTATTTCCACGTCGATTATTGCAGTAGGTCTGGGAATGCATTGGGATTAAAGACCGGCGTGAGATGTAGCTTGGCACATCTTCAACTGTCTTACGCCTGCGATGGAACGAGCTCAGTATGACAACTAGACTTACGGGCAAACGGTGGCTCTGCGCGGATTGTCGCCAGCCCGTTGACCGTGTCGGGTGGCTGACGGCGCCCTGCTCTGCGCTAGGTCTGGGCGCGCCGCCGCCGCCGCCGCCGACCGCCTCTTGGGGTCCGGGCTCGGCCGCCGGCGAGCACGGCCTGAACGGTGGCCGACTGCCAGCGCGCAGCACGGCCGCTACCGGCCACTGGTGCTACCAGCCGCCGCAGCGTCGCCCCACAGCGGCCGGGCCGACCGACAGCAGCGCAGGCTCCGCCGCACAGACCGGTCTCGGCCACCTGCAGATGGACTGCGATGGTTTGGGCGACGGTCATCACGCCAGCGGTGCTTTCGCCAACGAACGTCAAGTCAACAGTGCTATCGGCAATGGCCATCAAGCCAGTGGTGCTTTCGGCGACGTTCAAGTCAGCGGCGCCTTCGGAAACGGGCATCAAGCCAACGGTGCTTTTGGTGATGGCCATCGCTCCAGCGGTGCTTTCGGCGATGGCCATCGCGCCAGCGCTAACCCCGGCGCCTGCTGGATCGCGCCGAGCGCTGTCCATGGGAAGCGGCGTGGGGACGAGGTAGTGTTTGACGAGCAGTTGAAGAGAAGACGACTCACAGGTGAGTTACTGGCGGCTGGGAGAAGGAGTGGGGTCGGCTGCGGGGCTCGGGTCTGTGTGTGTGTGTGTGTGTGTGCGCGTGTGCGTGTGTGCGTGTGTGTGCCGGGACTCCGCGTCGCTAGCTGAAAGGAGCTGTATAATTAAACAGGTATTGGCCAATGGGCGCGGTACATGTGCCTTGCCTTACCAGGTAGTCTCTAGCTTTCGGTGTAAGCATCATACTTTGAATAGTGAAAACGGTCGGCAGCCATTGCCTGGGTACCCGGGGGCCAGGCAATCCTCCGCACGCTCTTTTCGCGCTGTCCCACTCTGTATTCTGGGTTGTAGCGATGTGTCCTCCGAGGAGGATGAATTGTTTACTTTTGCAGTTCAGGTGCGATAAAAGTGTGAAATGTGAATGGGCATGTAGACGTCGCTGAGTGTCTTGAAGCTGGTGATAGATTCTCCGTCGCGTGATAAGGGTGTGGGCAGTGCATGTCTGCACAAGCATTTCAAAATTGCTTAGCTGCGAAATAGGCAGTGACTAGTTGGTATTTATCTGAAGCCTCTTGGTACATCATGTTAGCTAAAGGCTTGCTATAAAGGCATGAGCGTGGCTGAGATGTGTGGGCGGCTTTAGTTTGGTGTGCCGCCGCCGTGACCGTCGAGATGACGCCCGTGTGTCCACTGCCCGCCCGCCCAGTGCGCAGGCTCGTCCGGCTCGCCGATCTGGCCGGCTGCAGCGTCCCACCGGCGGCCCTGTAGGCTCGTCACAGCTACCGGCAGCCCGTGGGCTCGCCGCAGCCACCGGCCGCCGACCCGACCCGGCCTGACCCAGCTTGACCGAGCGTGACCCGGCCTGACCTGGCTCGGGTGGGAGCCGCCGGCCCAGCTGCCTCCTGCGCGGGCGGCCGGCCGGAGGTACCTACCGTGGCAGTTACCGGGCCGTGTCCGTGCTGGCCTGCTCTCCCGGTGGTCGGTAGTTCGTTCGCTGCTCTGTGCAAGGGCCGTGGGTGCGTTGACCATGCTGATTAGTTCAGTTGGACAACTGCGCTTAGATATTTACGCAATGTTTGTGTATTTGTGTGGCTGAAGCGCAAAGCCGGTGTATATGCCAAACGGCCTGGCCTTGCCGGCGTTGCCCGTGGTCAATACGTCCTCGGACGAGGCACGCGAGCTGTAGTGACTGTTTGCCGGCCGCTGAGGCTGTGAGACCCGTGCTGCGGGATGTTATCAGCATAGCATGGTCTGGATAGTGGCCGTGCTGCGTGGCGTATGGGTTAGAGCAGGTACCGTGCATGCCCAGGAAAAATCGTTAGTTCAGCCACACTGAAAGCGAACCTTTTTCGCAAGCGTGTGTGTTGTGGGCGCCGAAGCACGGTAGAGCTTACCTGTTAATGGCGAGGTGTCTGGCAGTCTAGTGGTGATAGTGAAATGTGTGTATGATGGCGGAAAATGGCGTGGGGAGGCATCCGATCATAACGTCTGAGTCTTGTTCTGAGTACTTAAGGTATGAGGTAGTTTATCTGAAGTGACAGTGACAGTGACCAGTGACAAGTCGGCCACGTAAAGGTAGGCAAAGCCGCCTGTTGTCTGGCATCATGATGGACTCTTGAATGTACAGTGAAGTGGTGGCAGGCCACCTTCCACGATGTCAGAGATAAGGGAAATCGCGGTCAACGAAGAAAATTAAGAAATCAGTGCCAGCGAAAACGGACCAGTCAGATTAAAACAACTAGTTCAGTCATGATCAGCACCGAAACTAACGGAAACGAGCAAAAGCAAGCATCTCATTGGCGGAGGTCAGTGTAAAACATCGTGTGCTTTTGTTGAAGCCCGGCACATCCACGCCAGAAGAAGGACCCATGGACATGGCCTGCTTCTGGATGGCACTGACCGGATAGCGAGTGCATGCTCGTCATGAACACTATGGGTCAGCTGGGATGATGAGGTTGGAACTATCCTGAGCATGGATTCGAACTGGCCTAAAAGGTAGGTGGTTCCATGCTGACCTTGACGCTGAGGTCAAAAGAGACAGATGTGGGCAAGAACCGTCTGAAAAAGCTCAGCAGAAACTAAACAGAACGTCGTCGGCAGTGCTTTGAACGTCAAGAGAAGAAGATGGCTCAGTTATATGGCAGCTCTTACCACAACCGGGAAGCCAGTACATGCGAAGAATTGTTGTTATTTGCGTCTTCGCACCCTCCTGTGGGTCATCGCAGCAGAAACGAGACTCGTCTCGCATGTACGGACGACTTGCGTTGTCCGCCCGAAGCGAACGTTCCAATCAGGCATGACTGCTCTACTTTCAGAACCTGGTGCCAGCGCGATGGCCTGTGGTGCCTCTTCTCGCGTTTGCCCGCCAGCCTCCTGTCGCTTTGTGAGCCCCCAATGGGGGGGATGGGGGGGGGGGCGCCGTGGGCCGGTGGGCGCGGCCCACCGGCCGCCACAGATGGGGGGGGGGGGGGGCGCAGTGGGCCGGTGGGCGCGCCCCACCGGCCGCCACAGATGCGCGCTGTGAACGCATAACTATGACACGGCAAACATGAAGAGGGTGGGGCGGGGGGAGGGGGGTTCTGTACGGTCTGACATGACCCGGGGCGCATGACATGTGGATGTAGCGGACGAGAGCGGCGTCAATGTTCGGCCAGTGGTGTAGTATTCGTGCGGTTTGCTTAACGTCGGGCAGCTTAACTGTGTTGTGAAGTATGTGGCATGGGAGTTGTGGTTAGCGCCGTAGTACGTTTCCTATATCGTTGAACTGTTGGATAAGCTGGGCTGTCAGTTTCTCCCAGTGTGTATGATGTGGTATGATATGGTGTGTGCTAGCCTTGTGTGCCCACTCCTCACTCACCCATTGTTATTTGAGGTGCCAGATGAATGCATGTCCCAGGTACGACGAACAGTTTGGTGCCCTTCACTTTCATTTACCTTCTACAGCCGTACGTTTCCATTTCTCCCATCAGTTGGCTTGCAATTTGTACTTTTCAATTGCCTGCGTTTGAATTATGCAGGTCATTGTTTCCTGCGCGAGACGATCAGGAGATTTCATATGTTTCCAAATACCCGCACTTTCCATGGGATTATTCGCCGTATTAAAAGTCTGACTTACAGTTTGTGTGCACTATTAAAGCCTGTCTTACCTTATATCGCGGAACGGCGGTGCCCTGTTTGTCATACCTGTTGTACCATATGAAGCCGGCGGCTCTATACCTGTCCTCATCAGTTCATGTCAAACCGGCGCCCTCCTAGCCTTGTTTTCTTTTTGTCGCGGCTTGGGCGTCGGTTCCGGCCGTTTGCGACGCTGCCGAACAGGCCAATACCTCGCAGTTTGCCCTTGCCGGTGACCCGTGATCTGTGACCTCGTCTGGGCGGTCGGTGACCTGGCCGCTGACCCGTGATCGGCCCGGCAGAGCCGAAGGTGCTGCAGCCGGCGGCGGCGGCGGCAGGCGCGGCCGCCTCCTTGTGGGCAGAGCGAGCTCGGCCGGCGCCGGGCCCCTGTCGCCGGGACGACCGCTCTGTCCGGCCCGACACGCGACGGCTCGTCTGAGCACTCCGCCGACAGGTCAGGGGTGCGGCCGGCGCTTCGTCTGAGCGCTCCGCCGACAGGTCAGGGGCGCGGCCGGCGCCTCGCAGGGTCGGATCTGGTGCGCTCCGCGGTGACCTTCTGTGTCCAGCCCGGTGTTGTGACGTGGAGGGCTAGTTGAATGGAGGTTCGGGTCCAGGGGTGCAGTGTCCTTTTCAGGCGGTGGGGGGGGGGGGGGGGGAGGGGGGAGGGAGGGGAGGTGTCAACTTTGGGAAGAAAGTGGTCCAAATCGTTCATGGTCGGGTCTGATGTGTTCAGTCTGGATAGTTGGCCGGATAAAGGGTCGAGTCTGATGTGTTTTCTGCAGCCTGAGCTGATTCGACCCTCAGTGAATAAGCGTGGACGGTTGGACGCATGAAGGCTCGGGTCTGGTGCGGTCTTCAGGGGGCGGGGTCTGCTGAGAGTTTCCAGTCAGGCAGGGTGGAGAGCGGACCAGGGTCGGGCCGGATGTAAAGGTAGCTTTCGACCATTATTGTGGACGTGAGGTCGTGTGTTGTGGGGTGGTCTGACGAACGTTAGCGCGTTATATGATCACGCCGGCATGGTTGCCACGAAGTATGGACCCACAACCCACACCGTATCCTGCTCCTGCTCCTGCTCAGGTTCCCGGTCCCACCGATCCTCGGGCGGTAACTGATCTGGCGGCATTTTGTCCAGACTGGCCGGTGGCGCCGCCACGGTCGCCGGCCTGCCCTGCCGTCGCGCCCAAGACGATGTCGAACCCACGCCGCCAGCACTGTCTCCGGGAGTCCGCCGCATCATTGTGGGGAGGGCCTCAGTCGTGCCAGGCAGACGACTTCCCAGCGCTGAGCCGACGCAAGGCAACCGCCAAGCAGGCCTTGGCTGTGGAGAGCAGCCACCCGTGCCCTCGCGCGGTGTGGACTGCCGCCACTGCTCTGTGGTGCCCACTGCCGGCGTCTCAGCTGTGTCTGAGGACTGCCGGCCGCGACTGTTGGGCTGCTGGTGTTAAGCCCGGCATGTTACCGGGTTCTGGCTCGTCACCCTTGCGTGACGCGAATGCGTTCTGACAGATCAGGCTGCTGCCGGGTGTTTTGGAGAGTTAACAGTTGTCGCTCCGTTTCTAAGAGTCTCGCCGAAGATTTCGATCCATTGCTGAATCAAAAACTTGTTTGTTGTAGACAGCTATATGTTAACCGCCAGGCGAGTGGTGTTTGACTCAGTGTACTTAAGTCTTTGTTAAGGTTATTGTCATCATTTTGACATGTTTGCGGAAGCCTCGCCTCAGCGTTCTCAGTCTCTCGTCTCGTCCGCACAAAGTACCTGGAAGCTAGTGATTGATCCATGTTAGAAGCTCTGCTTGGATGGTAGTTGGGGCTGATTGCCGCATGCCACGGACCAGCCCGCATGCGCAGGATGCCGACGGTGTCGCCCGCGGAGTGATACTGGTAGTCTGCCGGTGACAGGGCGGCGGCCTTCGCCGACCTCTTGGTGACGGGGGTGGCCCGCGGAGTGACGCTGGTAGTCTGCCGGTGACGGGGCGGCGGCCTTCGCCGACCTCTTGGTGACGGGGGTGGCCCGCGGAGTGACGCTGGTAGTCTGCTAGTGACGGGGCGGCGGCCTTCGCCGACCTCTTGGTGACGGGGGTGACCCGCGGAGTGACGCTGGTAGTCTGCCAGTGACGGGGCGGCGGCCTTCGCCGACCTCTTGGTGACGGGGGTGGCGGCACTCGCTGGCCTGCCCTGACCCAGTGCAAACAAAGACGTCGTTGGCGTTTGTTGCGATGTTTGTTATTGATGCCGTTTGTCGAAGACATATGTTTTGTTGCTGGTCATGGAATCCGTTCATGCTGTTTTGCCAATACGGGTGTTGTAATTGCCATGTGTAGCGAGAAAAAATGCAGGATGCCTTAGGCTAGCACGCACGAACCTGCAGTTATAATGGCGAGTGCATATACGAAGTTCTTTGGTGAGCACGACTCTCCCCGCCCCTCTCTCTCCGACAACACCCCGTTGTGCAGCCATGCTCAAGCTGTGTTGTCGGACGTGTTTTTGTCCTCGGTCGTTTTTCGTCTTGGAAAAAAGGTTTGCTTATGCTTTCAAAAACGGCCCACTCGGAGAGCACAAGGACGTTTGCTGTTGTCAGTTGAACTGCTCCATGATGGCTTGCTTTCTTGGAATCGAACGATGCACAGCTCATGAGCAGAACGTGTTTTGGTTTACCGTAGCTTAGCTTGCCGGGCTGTTGTGAATGTTTGCGCAGTGCTTATGAGTGGTGTGCAGGTCATCACCTTTTCATTTCAAAGTGGGTGAAATTTAAGAATTGTGGGCGACGGTTCAGCCGAGTACAATTCACATGTTCAATTACTGAAGTGCAAATAAACCACTGTGTTACAGCGGATTCACCAAAGATTGATCCTCGCGGGAGATAGCGCGGTTTGTCAACGTTCAAGCCATCTTTGGTCAATGGTTGGTGCAACAGGAAATGCCTGAAGGTTAGAAACAACAATGAACAAGACGGCTCGTGCAGGTAGTCGTGCACGGTTAGTGATTGACAGCGCTCAGGGCCCATTCGGACATGTGAGTGCTCGGGCAACCGTAAAATCCGAACCGGGCGAGCACGGCGCTGACTAGTAGCGATGAAGATAGTGAAAGGGATTTTTGAAGAACGAAGGGTCATGAGCTCGTCACGAGATCCTACTGACATCGATCCTGGAACTTGGCCGGGCGCTGCCAGCTGGGCGGCGGCCCGGTAAGGGTTGCATCAGACTCCCGCTCAGCTTGCTACACGCCCCTCGCATCCAAGATTAGCTCCAGCGGGGTTCGGACATCGCGCTCGGCCGGCCAGTGGTGTTTCACGCGATCGTGTCTGCTTGAAAGGTGGCATTAGAGTAGATCTTTGTGTTTCTGAGGGGTGAAGCGATTTCAGTTTTTGCTAGTTTCTTGAGCACTGTTTCCCCCTGCCTGGAAGCGCGTTCAGCTGTTGTTCCGAGTTGCTTTGTCGACGCAGGAAGGACGAAAATGGCGCACGTGTTGAGTGAACAGCTTAGAGCAATTCTCTCTCCCTTTTGGGCTAGAAATACTGTGTTGAGAAGGCCATCATTTCATCATATACGAGGTTTGTAGCTTAAAATTTTCTATAAATATCGAAATCTGCCTGTGCTAAGGTCATGCTCACTTTTTCGTATGATATGAAAAACAAGTGTGTGTTCTTCGCACGTCACTGTAATGGGATGCGCTTTTTGGATATATCTCTCATAGCGTTTTGGTGTTAGCATGGCTCTAAACTTTGTTGAATTTTAAGAATTTTCAGTATTCATTTGCTGTTTATATTTTATACTAGTCAGTGTGTATCCAGGAGTTAAGCGGTTGGTTCTGTAAATGTAAGTTTGTAAAGGTGATTGTGTAAGAGTATGGCATGTTGAATGATGCATGTCACATTTTTCATCTTTGTTGCTGGATAGTCTCATATGAGCATTATGCCACCTTCCTGTATGCTTGACAATTTACCTAATCATGATGGGCTTACAAACATGATAATGTTGTGATTTATTAAAGGCTTGTGTGCTATTGTTAATGTCTGATTTGTATCTTATCAACAGAGTAAAAGTTTCATCTTGGTTAAGACAGACCTTGGAGAAACTGTATTTATTTATGTAGGAGCAAAATTGAATGTGTTTGCATTATAGAGAGAGCAAAAACTTGACTCAGTGAAAAACACACCAATGAGTTGCTTTGAGTATCCAGTGTTCCTTGTAGATGCATAATAGGCAGGCACAGACAGCATGCATTGGTTCAGTTCATACTGCTGGTAAGTCATCCTTCACTTATATCACACTATAAGTGACCAGAGTCCATGTGATGTTGACACTGGCTGGTGACAAAGGCATCATTATGGTCTGTGTCATAGATCTAATGGTTGCTATTGTCAGAAGTGCTGATATGTGCCCTTTCCAGGAATATCAACAACATCATCCCAAAAATGCTTAGACCAGCAAGCATCCATAAAGACTGCTACCTCCATCCAGACATCATATGGCCAGCCATTCAGTTCCACACACCCGCATCTCATGAAAGAGGGGGAGGTGAGCTCTGCCACCGTTCTCTGAGATACAATATGCTTTCTTTGTGACAAATCATAGTTCCTTTGATGTTTCATTTTATATGATGAATATGAAGTTTGCAAGGCTTTTCATGTAATTGTCTAACCTGCTTGGCTGTTAACATCAAAGAGTAAATGACAGAGCCTGCTCTGAGGAACGTTTCTGCATACAGCCAGCCAGACGTTGTTGTTTCCCAGAACTGCAACCACTGCCACTCTGCTTACAAGTACCACATGTGTGATACTGCTGCCTGGTCTCCAGGTGACACCCGGCCTCTCGTCTGACGAGTACTGCAGCCGGCGTCACCGGCTGATGGAGCTGCTGACCCAGCAGATGGCTGCCGCCCAGCCACGCCACCATGTGGTGATCGTGCCGGCAGCGCGGATGGCCTACCTCTCTGAGGACATCCCGCACCCATTTCGTCAGAACACCGACCTGCTCTACCTGAGTGGCTGCCAGGAGCCAGACACGGTGCTGGTGCTGCACTCTGTGCCCGGCCGGCCGGCGCCGGCGCACACCAGCGCGCTCTTCGTGCAGCGCAACACGGCGCACCGTCAGCTGTGGGAGGGCGGCTGCACGGGCCCGGCCGCTGCGCCGCAGCTGCTGGGCGTCGACGAAGCGCGCGCCGCCGCCGAGCTGCAGCGCTACCTCGAGTGCCTGGCAGCCGACTTCGCTGGCGCGCGCGCCGCCGTCTGGTACGACTTCCAGGCAGACCTGCAGGCGCCGCTCAATGCCACCGTGCGTGACTTCGTCGGCGCGCTGAGCGGCGCCGGCCTTGAGTCGCCGCGCCGTGCCGTGCAGTCGCTGCGCCTGCTCAAGTCGCCGGCCGAGCAGCGGCTGATGCGGCGCGCGGCACGCTGCGCCGCCGCCGCCATCCGCGACGCCATGGCCGCCTCGCGGCCCGGCGTCGGCGAGCACGAGCTGTACGCGCGCGTCGACTTCGGCGCGCGCATGCGCGGCGCTGAGCGGCTGGCCTACCCGCCCGTGGTGGCCGGAGGGGAGCGCACCAACGTCATCCACTACACGCACAACAACCGCACGGTGGAGGACGGGCAGCTGGTTCTCATGGACGCAGGTAGGCTGGTGTCATGGCCCTGCTTGGAGTCAGCCTGGCCGCCGGTACGGTCCGCCCGGCGGTGCGTGGCGGCGGTTGGTTGCGTGCTGCAGCGTGCAATCCCCTACATGACGCATTGACCACAGTTGTAGTGGCTGGGTTGAGGAGCAGCTCCTGATGCATCACTCGTTAATTCACCGGCATGTCTGCAGACGAACACAGAATCGGTAACATGTCTCTCTGTTCGCAAGTGTTTTACGTCTTGGGATCCGGTTACTATTATACCTTTAAATGATACACAGGCGTGAGGTAGCATGGGCTGGTCAGACACCTTTGCATACGACTCTTTGTACACATCACCATAGGAACAACGCTAAACATTCGTGGAGAACGGGCCGAGCTTGATCCCAATTGCCCCTCGCCTCCCCCTCCCCCAGGGCTTTACACCAGCCATGATATGGCGTGTACGCATATGCGACCATGCCCCAGGTGGCTGCTGCATGCAAATTTGCAGCATCAGACTTTTGCTCACTGAGCGCGGCTACCCGCTGAGAACGTTGCGTTGCGTGCGCCTCACGTTGTGTGGCATGACCGGAGCCGGCCGCCGGCGCTGTGACGGCTTCCCCGTCGGCTGTGCCGCCCAGGCTGCGAGCTGCACGGCTACTGCAGCGACATCACGCGGACGTGGCCCGTCAATGGCACCTTCTCCAGCGACCAGCTGCTCCTCTACACCACTCTGCTGGAGGTGAGCCCCTTCGTTCCGACCTACCTAGCCCGTGAGGGTTGTCCGGGCTGGCCAGTTGGGACGAGAACACGCCGTTGCCGGCGGCGAGCAGCCCGGTTTTGCTTGCGGTTGTAGGGATTGCGGAATGCTTGAATGTCGTTCAAGGTGTTTCCCTGGAGCAAAGTTGGTTTGGTTGTTTGGGTGCTCGCCTCTGGACGTTCCGGTCCGGGGCTCGGGTCTCGGCCTTACCACTACCGCATACCACATGGTAACTAATAAAGGCACCCCGTCTCGAAATGGCCCTGGCAGTCGGTGAGATGTGAAGCCTGAATAGTGATTAAGGCTTGTTTCCCTTTGCTATCACGGACCATGCTCTTAAAAAACGGCACTGCCCAATGCAAATGAGATGGGATCATTGCAGTGATGTAAAATATCCGATGTTATCGCACTCTGAACATGCTTACGTGATGCTCCGTATCTGCAGTAGGCGCTAATTGAGGTGGTGCTGACATCAGGCTGGGCCATGTGCTGTGCTCCGTAGGTGCAGGAGGCACTGACTGAGGTGGTGCTGACATCAGGCTGGGCCATGTGCTGTGCTCCGCAGGTGCAGGAGGCACTGACTGAGGTGGTGCTGACATCAGACTGAGCCATGTGCTGTGCTCCTCAGGTGCAGGAGGCGCTGATTGAGGTGGTGCTGACATCAGACTGAGCTATGTGTTGTGCTCCTCAGGTGCAGGAGGCGCTGATTGAGGTGGTAAGGACGTCCCGGCCCACTCTGGACGGCCTGTACGGTCACATGTTCCGCATGCTGTCGGAGCGACTGGCCCACCTCGGCCTGGTCGGATTCAACCGGGAGAAGGGAGAACTGTTCAGGGTGAGCATCCCGTCCCATGCGGCCGTCTGTGCCGTGTATGCATGGCTGGCCCTAACAAAGGGACAACGCGGTGGAACTTTTGGTGGGCGTTGGGCCTGCTCTTGTGTCCCTGTGTTGAGGTGTTAATGGCACAGACTTTGTGCAAAGTGCTGCGATGTAGCGTCAGCAAGCGCAGAAGACAATTTTGTCAAACAACAGGGTAGACTAATGATGTGCCTCGTTAGGCATTGTTAGGTTTATGATGTGTGGGATGTACACATTGGAACAGCTGGCAGAAGCCCCGAATTTTAATAGTTAGCCTGAAAGTCAGGGCATTTGCCATGAACTCAGGATTTGTGGTTGTCTTTTTCTCTATTTGGCGTTTGGCAAGAAATTATCAGCAAATTACATGACTGCCAGGTAGAAGGCCATGGCTGTATGGATATTTGCGATGGCAAAGTGTAGTACTTTCAGAAGACAGAAACAGGTTGTGTTCGTTTCTCGCGAACTATGCAGTGAAGTGCTGCTCGCTGCCAGCTTTCTGCGTCCGCTATTCCCCTGTGCTCCTGCTGCCCTGCACCGCGCTTGTTTTAATACGTCAAGTCGACTGTTGAAACCGAGCTGAAACACAGTTGGACGGCACATAGATCACGTTTCTATCTTCGGCTCAAGTTTGGTGTTGCGGCTGCCCTTAGCAGCAAAATGCTGGTACGGACTTCGAAATGCCCGCATTCTTGGACCGGCATTGGTGCCTTTAAACAATTTTCAGGAACATGTTGCTTTCGTCTTTTTTGTCTTTAACGTTCAAATTCGTCTCTATCCCTTGATACACTCCGTCCATATGATAAGCTGCAGTTTTCGGCACTCAGCACACGGTAGGGCGTCACAACGTCGGCGACAGTTTCCGTACTTCGTGGGTTATGAACGAAGCCAAACGAGCTGAATAGTCTGCTTGGCAAACGGCAAGGTATAGAAAACAAAGTGCGTAAACCACTGCCAAAGCCATCTGGAGACAGGCGTGAAGCGTTTTTGCACTCCACTGTCTAATTGCGCCCAGCCTAAGCAATAATGTTGGTTACTGTTCATGAAGGACATTATTGTGTGCAGCAGCTCTCGTTCGGTTCGATTACGCTATCTAAGAGGACGAAAACATCCGGTTTTTTTTCTGAGATAAAGCTGTTCTGAGGCGGCTTTCAGCAGTGCGTGGCTTACTGTGTATTAAGTCAAATCTCTGTCAGGCGGCTACCCGGGGAAGTGCCCTTGCTATCCCTGTTTCCCTGCCACCCTGCAATTTCCGGCGTAGATTGATAGCCTGCAAATCTGCAATAGATCCATTTTCTTCCTAGGGCGCTGGTTTTCTCCCGCAACAATTTGCTCTCAGCAGCGAATTGCAGGAAAATATTAGGTACAGTTGGTGATTGCTACTCTGTTTCCCACTGGCTAACATCGTTTCATTGTTTGTGGACTGCCATTTTGCTCACGATAAATTGCTGTCAATAAGGAGAAACGTGAGTTGATTTTATTTGTCGGGCACAATTCGCGAGTCAGTTTTATTAAATGACGAGTGCTGTCTCTCGTTCACAGCCTTGCTTCGCCGAGCCTTTGGCTTTGAGCCTTCTTTGCAACGATCATGGTAATCTCCTGTTATCATGAATCAAAACTGACGCCACTTTGGGCGCTTCTAAACTTCACCCACCGAAATGCTGGACACAAACTCATTACGAACCGCGCTCGCAGCAGTGGAACCCTGCCGGAACACAATCACCCTCCCCTTGCCTGCGCGCGCGTTATGGTCCTCTTACCAGAGCTGTGGATGCGTTCCCTCCTGGTGCACGGTGAAGACCTGCCTTCGCTGTGGGGCAGCTTAGCATTAAAGCCATCATGTTAATAACACTGCTCTGAATAGTGCAGCTTAACAAAGCTCTTGGTGTTCATAGCACCGCTCGTAACAGTCCAATTTAACAAAGCCGCAGGTATTTGCAACTTTGGTTTTTACAGCACCATTCGCTTGCTAATGTGGCCCGCCGTGCCCAGTAACCGTCCCACGCACCGGGCCAGGGCTCTGCCTCCGCACCGCGAGCTAATTTAGTGTAGTACCAGCGGGTGGCATCTTGGTTTTCGTTGGTATGGATGATCGGTTCGATACTAATGTTGTGTTTGACAGGAACGTTCTTATGATTTTACTTCACAATAACTGTATTTTTGGTTCATTCGCGTGCATTATGTAGTACATACAGGTTCAGTATGAACGTGTTCACTGTTGACCGTGTGCACTTACACAGAGCGTCAACCGCATTCTGAACGGGCTACGCCTAAGCCATCTCGTTTTTGAAGAGGTAAACTCTAGTTCGTAAGCTCCCGCATTGGCGCTTCAGTGCTGTTGCGTCGGCAGACGCGGGCAATGGACACGCTTTGGCGTCGTTTTGATGACGCTTTTGCTGTCGTAAGTCGTGCCATCCGTCCAAGTCATACACAACCAACGACCCATAGTCAGAGCAGTGTCTGGCCATTACTTAGCAAGCCTAACGGCATGATGTCAGATGGCTTCGATGAATGCGCCTGTGGTGATTTTGCGGACTGCAGGGCCACTGCTTGACAGATGTGTGGGGGAAAGTTGTTGAATAGCATGGTTTTAAGTTTTAGCTCATTCTAGTAGCTCGCAAACCTGTTGAAAATGTAGGAAAGGCGTATAGAACCGTGACATAGATGTCAGGTATGCATGCAATATATTGTAAACGTGCATACCTAAACAGGATATGGGATGGACGAGGGCATTTCTTTCAGATCCTTTGTCGACTTGTAGTCCATCACATAACGGAAACCGCAGATTGATTGAGAACTTGAGAACCGAATAATGCCCAACGTTTCATGCATTTGCTGCGACGTGTGTGATACAATGTCAGGTCATGCATTTGTTAAGAGGCCGTAAGTCCCACTACCAACCATAAGCTCGCACTTGATCTTTGCGGCCAGCAGATTATGGGTTGTTCTTGTCGATGTTGGGTTCAACACCATACTAACAAACACTATCGCCACTATTGGGCTGCGACGACTGCCTCTGCAAGTCTGTGTGGCTTCGCATGCACACTTGCGGACAGACCATTAAACAACTCATCTGTGTGCTTCCTTTTGAGGCATCACGCGCTTCAAAACAACGTCGCTTTCCAGCGTTGTGTTTATCATAACATGCAATAAGTCGACTGGTTAGATTGGTAAGACCTGAGTTGCTTGCCCTTTGCTCCAATCATTGCTAACGCAAGACCAACACACTTCGGCTTCGGCAAGCTTCGGCGCTTTGACTCCGTGAGTTTTCACCCTGGATCTGCTTGCCCGCCATGCCTGAAGCTTCCCCGTCGTATTGCTTACATTGTTCCGGCTGCGTAATCGCCTGCAATCCTTGCCAGTGCGTTAGGGTTACCAAATGAGTTTTGGTACCCTAAGGTTTCATTATTTAAGATACCTGGAATCCATCATATTGCTAGCAGCAGACGTTTCGTTTTCAGTCTTTTTATTACGCCATGTTGTTTTTCGTTAGTTGATGAGTCGATACTCAACACTTAGTGCACCATTAGTGCGTAGCGTGGCAAACGTTGCTGAGGGGCGGCACGCAACGAGGGTCTCTACGTACGAGCGCCCGCCGGCTCTTTCAACAACTCACGCCCTGGCGTAATGGATGATGCCGCGGAGCATTGCCAAGGTGTTCGGCCGGTTCGAGCCGTCCTGGTCGGTGGTCACCGTGAGGCTCTATGTAGCCCTCGTCGCTGACCCATCCGTCCCTCGGCGCAGTCGGTGCAGCGCTTCTGCCCACACCACGTGGGCCACTACCTCGGCATGGACGTGCACGACACCGGCCTCATGCCCAAGAACCGGCCGCTGCAGCCGGGCATGGTCATCACCGTGGAGCCAGGTCAGCGGGGCGGCGCGGCCGGCGGCGGCGCCCGCTCCTGGGCCGCGCGCCTCAAGCACGTCCAAGGGAAGCGCCGGGGTGGCTTACAGGAGCGGATGGAAACCGGGCTGGGACGTACGAAATCGAGGCTTTGTGTGTCGCGTACATTGTCGTGGTGAACTGCGCTGTTTGCCGGGGCATGACTCCGGTCCTCGCGTCGAAGATGTGGTCTTCTACGGTCGCGTACGAACTCCAGTTGTGAACTGTACGCTCCCCACGTGAGAGATCGGTCACCGAGCCGCGCCCCGCCGCCAGGTCTGTACGTCTCGCCTTCGGACACCAACTGCTCGGAGGGCTTCCGCGGCATGGGCTTCCGCATCGAGGACGACATCCTCATCACGGAGGAAGGCTGCGAAGTGCTCTCGGCCGACTGCCCCAAGACGGTGGAGGCCATCCAGGCGGCCGTCGGAAGCGGCGCGCACCTGCCAACGTGTGAGTGTGTGCCGCAGCTGACAGCTCACGGCTGTGCTGATTGCTCAGTACCACTGTTGGCGTGACAGCCTGTTCTCGGAAAATATCGTGTACTTCTTAAGTCGGGAGTGTGTTGCTTCCCAAATGTCTGGTGGAAGTCATTGCCTGGCGGCGGGAAGCATTGACGGATGTGCTCTGCGCCCGCCCGTTTGTTTCTGCCCATACAACGGCCATAAATTCTGCGTCCTCACGCTGCCGCTCAGTTTCAGGCGTTTGATGTCGTTGGCACGGCTACCCGCCAGGGGGCCAACCGGCAGGCGGACACGGAAGGGTAGCTAGCGGGTGGTTGGCCGTATACAGCGCGTGGTTGGGGTCTGGTCCTCGCGCGTGACGAGCCTGTTATCTCAGGGCCGGGTGCGGCGCGCGTCGGACCGGTGCGTGGTGTATCTGTGAGTGCAGCGTGACTCGAAGAGACGGCGCTTAGAGCATATGGTGTGCGAACGGACAGTGGAGCGATAGACGGCGCCCCGTTTTGAAAGTCTGCGGTCTTGCAGGCTCAAGTTATGCGTGCTGCGACGGTCCTGCTCGTTCTATTGCTCCCGACGGTCTTCTGACGGTCGGGCGTGGCCTTTGTACTTTTGATAACCCACCTAATCAAACGTCTCCTGTTGACTTACTGTTTTATGCAGTTGCTGACGTACAAAACTATCGCGGACGTGCCCATACGAAGGATGAATGGGTATTATCGCACCGTGATGGCTGACATTCGTTGTATCGGGAAGGGTGTATAAACCAGAGGCTTTGGTGGATGTTCTCTCATTGTAGCTGTGGGTGCAGGGAAGTTGGCCCTGTTCTTAAAATGCAGGCTGTTTGTTTGATAAGCCATAAATATACATGCTATCGATTCACGTGACGAATGCACAGAAAGCAGAACAAGCGTGGTGTGGTACATGATTCACACTCATAATTAGTATATCTGGATCAGGTGAGAATACCAGAGACCCTGCTCCAGAATACACCACATACACTGCTGTGATGCCCGATATCAGAGAACGGAAACAAGCGCCAAGGTAGAACAAATTCCGGTACTGAGGCACGTAAGCCCGCGTGCGCACAGAGGTCACACAGGACGCGTGCCATTACTGCCGACCCTGCCGCAAGGTGCTGCAGTGCAGTACACACACCCTTTTGGCAGCCAGCATGTACTGCCATGTCAGTTGAGCTTTCGTGTGTGACCACAGCAACCGACCCCCTGCCGCATGCGTGCTCTCACTGGTAGCGCTCGTGTACGTTGTGCACGCACTTGCCTTCAGCATGCATGGCGCCAACCAGACAACTGCGAAAACTCGCTCAGTGTATTTCCTACAAACGTCGCAGAACAGTCGCCACAACGGCTAGGGCGAACTATCGCCCGTCGCGTGCACGACTGTCCCTCCCCCCCCCCCCCCCCCCACGCGTTGGGCGGTCAGCTGTCGTCGCAGCCGGCCAGGAACTCCGCGATGAGCGGCGCCTCGAGCGGGACGGTCAGCTGCTCCACGCCGTCGTGGGTGGCGCGTGACCGGATGAGCTTGTGGTCGCGGAACTCGGTCAGCTGTGCGCGCAGCGCCACCTGCGAGCTGACTAGAAACTGCTCGCGGCAGCGGCGGTACAGCTCCGACAGCGGCAGGCCCTCGAACGTCCGGTCATCAGCGTTCTCCAGCTGACGAGCAGGGGTAGAGCGCGTCAGGCGAGCGACGTGCGTGACATGCTATACTGGATAGCAATATGATACGGTTGAAAGACAGAGTGATCTGACTGTGATGGCTGAATAGGTCCGCATGGTGACAGCGACGGTACAGCACAGCCGGAGAACAAAGTTGTCCCAACATGCTTTCGCTAGTGCCATCAGACGTAACGCGAGAAGCTCGTGTCGTGGTTTTCGCGGAGAACTAACGACAACGTCATACCAGTTGCCAGGCATGAGCAGCGGAGGCCGGCATTAGTACCACATTGCAAACTTACTCTGAACGCCGTGGAAATAGACGCTCGACGAGCTACGAACCCGGCCAGTACCTGGTGCTTGGCGAGCAGTATGAAGATGCCGCGAGCGTTTGGCGTGAGAGACTTGAAGACGTGGCGCAGGGAAGAGAGCGCCAGGTCGGCTGTCTGCCTTACCAGCAGAGAGTTCTCGTACGACGTCTCCTCAGTGTACGGCAGTAGCGTCGTCGCGTCAAACCTGGCCACACATCGGCGAGTTACGGCCCGGCAACACTGGCCGCCGAGAGAAACGCTTAAGCTGACAAGAGGAACGCTTAGGTCGACAAGAGAAATACTTAAGCTGACAAGACGAACGGTTAATGCGAAGGGGAACACTTACCTGTCAACGTGGGCTAAGACGTCGCAGTAATTGACGACACATGGTAAGTCTCATTAAACGCTTGCAAAAAGGAGGCCGGCACAAACTACACAAAAGGAGGAGACGGGCACAAACTACACAAAAAGAGGAGACGGGCACAAACTACACAAAACGAGGAGACGGGCACAAACTACACAAAAAGAGGAGACGGGCACAAACTACACAAAAAGAGGAGACGGGCACAAACTACACAAAAAGAGGAGACGGGCACAAACTACACAAAAAGAGGAGACGGGCACAAACTACTACAAAAGCCGGCGCACCGACGCAAGGTACATCAGGAAACCAAACAACAAACACGCCGGAACAAATAGCGTTCCAACCCTACCCCAGCCCTGACGCGGCACAAAACGGGCGCGGCCGCCACTGACCAGATGAAGTTGAACTGGGCCAGCTTGTGCTGGTCCCAGATCAGCGGCGCGTTGATGTGGTCGACCGAGGCGACCAGGTGGACGCGCGGTGCCTGCGCCAGCCGCGCCAACAGCTGCTGCATGCGCTCGCCCCGCATCATCGGCCCGTCCATGCTGTTCACCAGCAGGAAGAGGCGCGCGTCGCCCGACCCCGAGAAGCGGCGCAACACCGCCTCGGCCTGTGCCTCGGGCCGGCCGGGCGGCGCCGCCACCTCCAGTACGTCCTCCAGCAACGTCTGCAGCAGCTGGCGCGGCGTCACGCTCGGGTGGAAGCCGTTCACCACCACGTGCAGCCGGTGCTGCAGCTGTGTCAGACGCAGTCGTTCCAGCACGGCCCGCTTACTGCCGAGCCCGTGGAGCAGCACGTTGAAGCCGTGGCCAAGCGCGACCAGCCAGTGCGGGAACAGCAGCTCAACGTCACCGAGCAGCGCGGCACGCTCGGCCGCGTGGTCAGCTGGCCGCTCGCCCAGCAGCGTCTGCAGCGCGGCGTGGCTGAGGCGCGGTTCGGCCAACCGGCTCAGCGTGTGGTTCGAGGTGACGCCGCGCGCGCTGTGCAGAGCGAAGTACTGCTCGGCGTCGGCGGCAAGCTCCGCCGGCTCCGACCGGCGGCGGGCGGTGCCGCGGCGCGCCGGCGGAGCAAACAGTCGCCTCTGAACGCTGCCGCGGCTCCTCCTCCTCCTCGGCGTCCTTGTCCTCGTCTGACCCGCTCTCCCGGTCTCCGGCGGCTTCCGGCTCATCCTCTTCACTGCTGTCCGAGGACTCCTCCAGCGGCGAGAAGTCGCTGTCGTCGTCCGACACGGCGATCTCCTCCTGCTGCAGCTTTGCCAGGCGCTGCTTGATGCGGCGGCGCACAGTCTGCGGCGTTTTGGCTGGCGGCGACGCGGCCCGGCGAGTAGGTGTTCTCCCAGGTGTCTGAGGCGTGCGCTGGGGTTACGGCCACTGACCGGCCGCCTCCGCCCCGACCCGCAGTGGGCGTGGCCGGGGTGCGACGGCCGCGGCCGCGGCCGCGCGAGACTGACCGGTCGGCCGCCGGGCCCCGTCGTCGGCGTGGAAGGCTCCTCCGACCGCGTCCCTGCCGTCTCGGATGCCGCCGCGTACTCCTCGGCCACCTTGCGGAAGTGCTGCCGCCGCTGCCGGCGCTGGAAGCCGAAGACGGCGCTGCCGCGCACCGCGTCACCACTGCCGTGCTCCTCCAGCTGCGCCGAGTTCAGCTGGCGCAGCGCCTCGCTCGCGCCCGCCGGCTCCCCATCTGAGTCCAAATCGGACTCCCCCGCACTAAAGTCCGCCGCCACCAGCCGGCGGCGAATGGTGTGGTCTCTGGCACTGGCAGCGGCCGGAACTACCCTCTTTTGGGGCCAATGTCAGGCCCAGCGATCGCGTCGGCGCCGCCTTGCTGATGCTCTGGATTGTCTCCAGTGTGTCAGCATCACCCAGAAATTGAACAAAGACATTGTTGCCACTCGGTATTGCTTCCTGGCGTTCCTGAGCTGCCTTGGAGCGCCTGAGGTAGGAAAGAAAAGGAATCTGATGCAAAAAGTCATGTAAGTCATGTCCTGGTCAACTACATCTCCACATCAGCTGTGCATCTTGTTAGTTGTGAAAGAGCTGCATAACAAGAATATAACTTTGTTTAGCATGCCCCACAAACTGTTTTCACATTTACAATTGAAAACAAATAATAAATAATTGCCACCATTGCACCACCGATTTCTAGTTGTGGGTGATGTATTCAACATGCTAGCAATTCTTCATTAATATATTTGAATTTTACATTATTTAGGGCATCTTACATAATTTGTTTAGGATTTTTTAGTGGTAGCATCAGCCCACTCATTCATGTTCTCCACATCCACCATGATTACTGATTTGAGCAATTTTAATAGGGATACCATTGTAATAGGGGACGAATTAGGTTGGATAGCTGAACATGTGACAATCATGAGAATATATTTCTTCAACTTAAGAGGACACAGAAATAAAGGAGAAAACACCAAGATTACATTTTCTACAATATGTAAAGCCCTACAACATGAATCAAAATTACAACCTATCAGCATGAACAAGAACAATGCAGAGAGGTCTTCCAACACACTTCTTTCCTATCATTAGGCAAAAATCTTATAGTCCTTAACACAAACTGCATGCACTTAATTCATCTTCACATCACTGCAAACAAGTTCTTCATTTAAATAAAAAACAGACAAAAAGCTGACACTTTCTTAATTCATGTGTCCCTTGAGCCCTCTAAAGTGCACACATACTAATATGCTATCATATGCCCCTGTTTCAAAATTGGCCCACAACACAACCAGCACACCTTCATCTTCAAACTTCCAGATTGCTGGTTGCATTTCCACTATATTAGGCTATAAATGTCTGGTTCCCAACTGGTTAAAGAAACAGTAAATTTAGATTAATGTATAAAAAAGCTTTCATACATTTATCTTCCCCAAAGTGTAGAGCAAGTCCTTACATTGAGACAAGTGTCACTTTACTTAATCTGTGGTAATGATCAACTGCTCACATATTGCATCTTTCTCACATTTGTATATGAAAAAGGGCAAAATCTTCCACAAAGTTTGTGATGATGCTTTTAACGTGTGCCCGGGGGCATAATTTCAAAACATGAGTTGGGGGGAAGGCTGAAATAGTGATCAATGACAGCCTGCCCAGTAATATGCCAACAAGCAGGGTTCTCCCCAGATTTGGCCCCTTCTCCCAAAGGTTGGGAGGGGGTTGGAGTACAAGATGGTGGAGACGCTTGCGGAAGTCCCCCCCCCCCTCCACCACCAACTGAACAGGAAACTACACCCCTGGCGTGGCTCCTCGAACTTGAAGACCACATCGAAGCGCACTACATATTCTGTCTTGTAAACTCACCCCCTTCTTCGTCCACCATCGCTACTGTTTGCCTTTGTTTTCATACTTGTCATGGGAAAACTCTACGATTTGATGTCGGTTTGCACATAAAAGGGAATATATCACGTCCACGTTCACGACGCATCCCTTGTGTTACGCTGTTCACAACTGGTCACATTTGGCGCGCAATTGGTGCGTTACATTGCTTTAATTTAGTAGCCTTACTCGCAAGATATTTTGTAACATTTGCGCTGTAAGTGTCTTGTCATACCACTGATGACGTAAATAAGGGAGGAAGGCATGTCCGAAAAGGGGAGGAACGGGTCTGATGATTAAGAATCGGGTGTGTAGGCCCGAGGAAGAATTAAATGTGAAAACTGGGAGCTACATGGATGATCAGTTAGGTAAGTTCATTCCAAGTCATGAATGTGAAACAAGTTGAATTCGTGCCATCGTGTATTTACACCTAAGGGTGTTTGAGTTTTGGGCTCCCATGTTGCGTTTCCATCGGTGGGCGACCGTGAGTTCTGACCGCATCTTGCTGTCCATTTTGATAACTTTTCACAAGTTTTGTGTGACGATGTTCACATGCTCCCACCTTCCGCTTAATCAACATCTGAGAGCTGTTTGCAGCTGGTAGATTCTGAACAGCTGTAGTGTAATAATAGTATATGGCAATATAATGAAAAAATGTAGGCAATAAATAGTAATCCCAAATGCATATCTACATGTGGCACAGTGCTCTAGTTGTTGTTCTCTAACATTCCTTCCACATATGAAGGATACTGAATTATGGGGCTAAAACTGTAAAAATTTAGAGTTAAGAAAGAAGAATCAGGTCTGAGGCACATATCTGCACAGCTTAGTAGATGGCAGCTCTTTTTGGGGGTTCATGTAGGATCAAATTAAATGTAGAACTTTCTTTGTTAAATGCTTGTCAGCTGTGTATGTGTACCAGTTGATACTCAATTTATTATTATTTATAGTTGTTTTATTATGATAATGCTTACTATCTTAATGACTATTTATGTTACAGATTCTGAATATAAATTCTGAAATTTGAAAGCCTTCTGAATGGCATCGAACTACATTGGAATGCCCCTTTGCAGATTTTCCATACCAAAGGCACCTAACTATGCTGTAATATTGTATTCAAGCATTCACAAACATGGTTTTGCTGACATGCCTCATATCTGAGTAAAATAGTATTTGGATGATGTATGTACATGCATTATGTATGACATATCATGCACCACTTACATGCATGGTATATAGTCTTAATTAACATGCATACTCATTTTTGCTGTGCAGGATAGATCAGAAAGATGGCAGAACAGAGGCCACCAGCTTCATCTTCCCCTGCTGGGTCACTCTCAGCCACCATGGGGCTGTCAAGGGGAATGCAGCCCACATAGCTCTGGCCCTGGGCCTGGCCAGCCATACCTGCCTCTCTCTGGACAGCAGCACCATTGGCAAATGTCACAGCAGCAGCAGCAGCAGCAGCAGCAGCAGCAGCAGCAGCAGCACACAGCAGCAACAGCAACAACAGCACACAACAACAACAACAACAACAACAACAACAACAGCAGCAGCAGCAGCAGCAGACAGCAGCAGCAGCAACAGCAACAGCAACAGCAGCAACAACAGCAGCAGCAACAACAGCAGCAGCAACCTACTGGTGCCAGCTTTCAGCAGGGTCTGATCCAATCTTGGTTACATGAGATAGTTTGGGAAATAGTGGTCTGGAGTGTAGGTGGATTCCATGGGGAAAATATATCACAGATCCATAATCAATCCTTTTCCACTAGGCAGCGGTTTTTAACCATGACTTTTGGGAAAGCCGTGGTACAAAAGATGCAAATGTCTGTTACTGCGTCATCTGATGTTGTACCACTAATCTGTTTCATACGTGGCTGTTTTTTCTTCTACAAATTTCTGCATGGCTGTTTTCTTGTATTGTGCCACTGATCTGCGCTGGTGATCGCAGTTCCAGAGGGCGGTTACAGTGGCCTGCAACAGTCTGGCGCGGTCTACAACAGCCCGGCAGCGGTCTGCAGCAGCCCGGCGGCGGTCTGCAGCAGTCTGGCAGTGGTCTGCAGCAGCTGCTGTCCTCTGGCACCGACCCGGCGCACCTGCCTCAGCCGTCGGCCGGTCCACCGCACTACGCCGCCGCCGCGCAGCACCAGGCGCAGCATCAGCACTACGCGCATGGCGCGGCCGGGCCCCGCAGCACCAGGCGACGGCGCGCACGCCGCCAGCCGCCGAGCCGGAGAGCGTGCCCGAGTACAGCCCGGCGGCCATACAGTCGGCCATCGCCAGCATGGAGGAGCGCGGCATGCACGACGACCCGCGCTACACCCAGCTGCTGGCCATCCAGGCCAAACAGCAGCAGGTGAGGTTGCGCCGCGGGCGGGCGCCGCAGCTCGGGCACGCGGCCGGGTCGGATTTACGAATGGATGTGCTATGGCTTAGACAAGTGACGCTGGTCCTGTGTCTCGATGCATGGGCTTTTGGGCTGCTGTTAGGCTTTAATGCAGCTAAGGTTTTGGATGATAGATGATAGGTCATACCAGATCACAAATGTAGCCGAGCTTGTCAGGCACCATGTAGTTAGTACTGCGTCATTTTTTTTCCAAATGTGATGTTTTAGGCAACCGACGTTAGTTATTTTGAAGCATTCATGGTCACAAATTTCACTGATTTGATACGTCTTTCAACGGCTGTACGCGAAATAAGGCTTTGGCAGTAAGGTAACAAATTGGGCCATGCAGATGCAACAGCAACAACAGCACCAGCTGGTCCAACATCAGCAGCAGCACAGCAGCAGCAGCAGCAACAGCAGCAGCAGCAGCAGCAGCAGCCAGCACAGCAGACAGCCTCAACAGCAGCTGGAGCAGCAACAGCAGGGCTACCACATGTCGGGCGGGATCGAACCGAGGGCGACGGCTGTGCCCAACCGATCGTCGGCCAGCCTGTTCCAGCAGCACCAGCTCCAGCAGCTGAAGGCGCAGATCATGGCGTACCGGCTGCTGGCCCGCAACCAGCCCATCCCCAGCAACTTCTTGAACCTGGCCATCGGAGGTGAGATGACGGCGGCCGGCTGTGTGGCCGGGGAACGCGCCTCGTAGGTGGAGCACGTGTACCTCCGTGCTGGACCGTAGCTGTCTTTGTTATGACAGGTTGTGTTACTGTG